AGATCGGAGCTCGCCTGTGGGAGGTGTCGCAAACGAGCGGGGAGGGGTGTTCAATCTCGGGAGGCGCTAGGGTTTCGGGCTCATGGGTTCGTCATAGTTAGAGAAGGGTTCCTCGAAGGCTTACTATAGGGGTTTATTATAGCGGCCTTCTTAAGTAGAGGGGATACTATAGTATCGCACATTTACAATAAAGAACTATGAGGGAGTACGATTGTGTTGGTAATCCTCCCGACCCTCAGCCTCACACCCTAAGCCCCTGCAGTACCTTAACCCCAAATAACCTACCTTTTTAGGGACTTATATAAAGAAATCATATTAGGGGGCCTTAAAACGGTAGGTTCCTTAGGGCCCAGGTAGGGCCATAGGGTTGGGGTTTTAGGCTTCTGGATGTTTGAATGCCAGTTCATTTTTCTACTTAGACTCCTAAACTCCCTAAATCCAGAACCCTCAACCCCTAAACCCTAAACCCCTGAACCGCTAAACCCCTGAACTCTAAACCCCTGAGCCCCTAAACCTTCAGCCCCTTTAATATAATCCGGCCCTAGTCCCGGAGACCCTCGATTGATTTTCATGGCTGCATTAAGTACAGCAATAAATCGACAAAACATGATGGATCGTCTAACAATAACAGGAATAACAACCACCATAGCAGTAATACTTGTTGTATTTCACAGTAGAAACAACAGTAATACAAACAACAGTAGACCATGCAAGCGGTGTCGGAGGTTATGCAAAGCCGTTTGAACAATATGTAGACGTCTCAGACGGCATCAGACAGACGGCTTTCTAAAGGCGAGCCTTGAAAAAAAAAACTACAGCCTCAAAACCCTGAAGCCCTAAAGCCCAGACGAAAGTCAACGCCCCAACACGAGCCATGAACACCAAACGACAATCCCGTACGCGAAGCCCTACTTGGAGGATCATGGGACTTAGTAAGTAGGGTTATAAGTACCTTAGTTGGGGTTATAAGTCATTATAAGTACAGTTACCTTAGTTATAACCCTAGTTACTAAGTCCCATGATCCTTTAAGTAAACCATGTGCAGAGGTCTCTGAGCGTCTTTGCGGCCTGCGCTTCGATGTGGCAAGTCTAAAACGACTTGAGGAATTGGGCGAGGAACGAAAAGTGTACTCTTCGGTCTAGTGCCATGGACGTTAGGGTTACGTTTAGATATACTGAAGGTGATGATACAGCGACCACTGGCTGGGGATCACGAAAGCCTACACCAGAAGAGGGACTAGACAAGTGGAGGAGGATGTTGAAAGGCTAGACAAAGATGTAAATGTCGAGCAGGTTCCTTCATTAGTTTCGTTAAATCTTAAGGAACCGGTGCAAATTTTCATAATATGTCATTATGAAAATGTTTATGTATGATACTAAAAACAAAGCAAGGAAGAGTAGATAATGTATCAGTTGATTTTGATCCATGTGCTGAAACAGGTAATGTTGTTTCTAGGAAGTGTTAGCGGTGTAAGCAAGTCAAAGACATTGATTGTTTCGAGTTTTGCTATTACACTCGTAAGCCTTCTTATTGTTATGTTAAATACACTGCGACTTGTTTTGAATGCTTTGACAAAACAGTTCAAAGGGATAGCGTTATTAAAACTGTTGATGATATAAATCCTGCATTACCTGAAGGACTCTAAACTATGGGATTAATGGTATGTTCCTTATTATGGGTAGTGCAGGATTTATATCATCCACCGTAGTACGTAAGATGGAGACAATCACATGCAGAAGATGCCACAGCAAAAAACCTGCAGAAGAGTTCGGGTTAAATAGAGTGGGGCAGCCTTGGCGCAATCGCACTAAATGCCGAGAGAAGAGGAAGGAATACACAATAAGTAAGCTTGTGGAAAAGAAGCCTGAAATTCAAGAAGTTTTTGATCACGTTCGCCAGCTGTTGATGAATGATTTGTTTCTGGAAAGCTACTTTATGCTGATTGGAAAGCACAAAGACAGGGTTATGATTGAGATACCTGTTGATGACAAACCAGAACAAACAACTTAGTTCTTCTTTATACCGTGATACTATGATGCAATTATAATGCATAAGCAGTTTTCTATTACAATTACATTAGAGTTGTAACCCTCAACCCTAAACCCTAAACCAAATTTTATAAGAAATCCCTTGCCGATCTTGGGATTGTGATTTATCCTTTGGTGGTGCCAATGGCCGAAAATAGGCAAGGTATATCCTAACTCTAAGTAGGGTTGAGACTTGAGGAAGGTTTAAGGGTTTAGGAAATGTTCCTGCCGCAGCTGGCGATGATCACGCCCGTTGAGGTGGAGGCAGCGCAGAATGCGGGGAGCCCTGATCCATGGGTGCTTTCTTTCCTATTTGGGAGCTTCCGAAAATTACCTTATTTGGGGGTCCTTATAATAAGGATCCTAGTATTTAGGGTACTACATGTGGGTCCCCTATTCTCGGAAACTCCATTTGACGGAGACTGACTTGGTATTGACCGAGAATGACTTCGGGTTAAGGTCTTTTGTCGGAGTGGTTGGCTGGTCTCATTCCGTGTTCAGGAAATCGATTTAGGCGTGGTGGGGGTTGTTGACCTCATGTCCTGCACAAACCCTATAAACCCTGATTCCTCAATTCAATCCCCAAGTGCAGACATGATGCGTGCATCACCAGAGACATGTTGTTGCTTAAAAGCCCCGGACAAGAAAGCAAACTTCTTTGGCGTGGAGCCTTCGTTAGCTAGTGTCTCCTTTTCGGACCCAAGTAGTTATACCAAACTTTGTCCTTTGTATGTATCGGCTCCAGTACTCTTAATTATTTTAAGCAGTGAGTGTTGGGCCGTACTTGTCAAGTTCTGGGGACTCTGATATCCAGAAGCGTTGGTTCTATCGGTAGGGAGCTGTCCGTGTTGGGACTAGGCTCAGCGTTTGATGGATTGGGGTTTGGAAGTTTACAGGGTTGTTGTGCGACGTCAAGCTTGGGGTACTTGGGATGTGAAGCTTGATGTGGAGGAGCATCTGCAGAGGAACACAAATGCAGGGTACCCTAGACCCTTGGCCTTAAATCCTAAATCCCGTGCGGCGTTGTCCTAGTAGACTCGGATCTGCGAGGGCAAAAAGGAGTTCAACAACATCCTAAAACCGGTGTCCCTGGTCTTCTTCTTGGCCGGTTTAGCCCTGGGCGGAAGAGATTCAGTACGGCACCATCCGGGATCCTCCCTAAACCGCTGAGATAGGTTGCTACAACTGCTCTCACTCTACTGCAACTACTACTACTACCTCTACTATCACTACTACTACTACTACTACTACTACTACTACTACTGCTACTACTGCTACTACTGCTACTGCTACTGCTACTGCTACTGCTACTGCTACTGCTACTGCTACCACTACTTCTACTTCTACTACTACTGCTACTACTGCTACTGCTACTGCTACTGCTACTGCTACTGCTACTGCTACTGCTACTACTACTACTACTACTACTACTACTACTACTACTACTACTATTACAGCTACTACTACTTCTACTACTATCCTACTACTACTGCTACTGCTACTTCTGCTGGTTCTGCCCTTGCTCGTGACAGCAGCAGGAAGCCGAGTTGTGATGGCTGTAGTCGTTGTCCTCCGCCAGGGCTCAGGAGCCGGCATGTAGAGAAAGCTGATGTTATCATATAACTAGTGTTACCAGTCTCATTATGATTATTGGTATTGTTTTACCATGTGTCATGCAGATGACAGACCTGCATGGGCCTCCGTGACATAAGGGTTGTAAGGTCCAAGAATCTGGGCTAGTTTAGACTCACCCAATCGTAGTGGTGCGGTTTACAGTTGTGGGTGGCTTGGAATGGTTTAGGCCGGTCGCAGTGAAGAGATGCACCTTGGCAACTTACGGTTTGAAGGAAGTCTTTGAAACTAGCTACACTGTACATGTCCTCCACCATCTTGCAACAAAAGGAGGTGAAACCCTGGAAATAGAACACGTTGCATTTCTTTGGAGCTGGGCCCACGCTCTTCACGCAGTCCCGGGCTCAGAGACCTTCTTCGAAGTCCCAAGTTTTCAGCAACGAGGCCCATTACAAACAATATGAGTCCTCAGAGCCGTAGGCTCGGAGAGTGGCGAATCGGCTCAAGCCCTTGGAGCTAAGATTCTGGAGTATGATTGAGCCTTACCTATAGTCTCCATTGTAGTTCCTTTTTTTTGTTAACCAAAATCTCTATTATAGGATCCTAACCACAAAACTGGTTAACCAAAAGGAGCTACCTACAATGGAGACTATAGGTAAATACTGGTCTATTGTCCAACCCGGAGCCTGAGAAGCCAACAGCCCAATCAACCTGACCAGTTGTTGATCCCGGATCCCTTGATTCTCAAAGCCATATCCTCAGCCTGTAAGCATTGTCGGGCACAGAAATGTTTGGTCAGACCCGAAACTTTAAAGATTTCCTACCCCAAAAGTCATCTAAGCCTTGAGTTACAAACAACCTGCAGGCTGTATCACTTTGGTCTTGCATGCAAGTAAAACATAAAAAATACCAGGACAAACAAGGGCGGCGACAACGATGCCAACAGCAACAGCCTGAACCTGAATCCTCATGTGCTGATCCTTATAGCATCTTTCAATTATAACGTCTTCATAGAACCCCTACAGATCCCGTATAAAGCCGTCAAAGCACAGAGACGACTGTCAACTACATTGGATCCGCATGGAACCCTGGGGAGCAATAACGGAAAGCCCTGATAGCACCCTCGAAAACAAAAAAACAGCAGCTAAGCCCTATAGTCTTCATTCCTGTTGCTCTTTGGTGTTACCCTATAGCCTTGTAGGGTCCTGAATATAACATTGGTTGTACACAAGAGGGACTATGGAGACTAGGTAACCCTAGGGCTCCAGTTAGCTAAGTAATGGGATATCTACTGAGCTATATCAAATATGGTTGGTAAGTTAATAACCTACTACTTAAGTAGCTGGAGCCCTAGGGTAGGTATAAAGCTACCAGCGCCTTGGTTGCTCAGAGGCCGAACCATGTTCGGCAAGCAGACTCTCGGCTTTTTGTTTGGAGTTCGGATTTGGGTTGAGGGCATTGGTTAGAAGGGGCCCCCAACCCTGTAATAGTGGTATAATAGGAATAGAATAGGGCCCTAATACAATCCTTATAGTCACTATTACAGGGTGGGGGCCCCTTCTAAGGCATTGGCGTTTCGATTTGTTTGTAGCTTTCTTTTTGGGTGGGTTTAGGGTTTGTGGTTCTGGGTTTGATTTGGTAGTATCGACATACAGGTCTTACTCCGTGGAATGGGCTGTTCTGGACTTCAGAGGCTGTTCTAGGCCGTTCTCTCATTTGCTTGTTCTTGGGTTTAGGGTCCTTGAACGTTTTAGGATTCTCAATGTTTCAAGGCCTTCATAGTTTCGAGGTTTGCCAGGTTTAGGGCTTGGGGCTTTATGGCTTTTCTGTTGACATGTTGTATCAGCTTTCGAACTGAATGCCCCTCCCAAAACCCTAAGCTCTAAATCTTTCACTTCGGGCTTGATGCCAAATAGGGTTTAGGGCTTTGGACTGAGGGTTTTGGGGGTTGACGGTTTTGTGCTCCGAGCTTCGAGCCGAACCTCAAAGCCCCACAGCCCAACACGACATGGAATCTAACCAAATCGCGAAAAAGCCTATACCCACACAGGGGGTTGTTACGGAATGGGGGATATGAGAAAAGTATGCAAGGTCTCCGTACAAAATGCTAACCGTTAGCGAACTGTCTTGTGAAGAGTCTCGGGCTTTTGCACCAAAGGTTTGCATCAACATCCTTGACGTTGCTGGCTTCCCATTTTCATGAAGGTGTTGATGTAGAGCCCTCGCTCATGCCCACCCATTGATTATGATAGGGATCTTGCATGAAAGAAAGTTGAGTTATGAGCCGGGTGGCTGCATCGTCCCCATTTTATACAAGCCAAGTGTAACAGCCACTTCCTTACACCCTCAGTTCTCAATGTTAAGAGCTTCAAACAGGCCCAACGACCGCCTACAAAGCAAGCCCTTAAGTAGGGTAGACTGCTCTAAGCCCTGAACGTCACCCAACTTCCTATGCAATCCTCGATCCTGCACTCCGTTGAACATAGATGCCTCAGAAACTTCAACTAAAATCGCGTACTAATGCGCTTGTAAGATTTTCTGGCAATTTATATGCATATATATATATATATATATAGAAAAAATACACACACGGTATACTCGTATCCCGGGACATGCAAATCTCAAGCGAGTTCAGCCGCAGGACCGGTGATCGCTTCGAGAAGGGGAAGGTGTCGGAGGTCAGCCCCGGACCCGGATCCTACGACCTGCCTTCCACCCTGGTCGCCTGGCCTTCATGGTTCTGGGCACCCAAAGGGCTAAAAGGCCTGTTCTGTTCTAGAAGGGGCTGATATGAGGGCTCTAGGCTCTGAAAGTGCTCTAAGGGTTTTATACAAGAGTTCGATAAAGGTGGTCTCCTGGCCTTGAGGCTTTAAGAGGGCTCTATGAGCATCGGGTTTCGTAGAAAGGATTCGTGAGTTGTTGTTTGGGGGGGAGTAAACCCTAAACCCTAAACCGGAGGGTTTGGGGTTTTAGCTTGTGGGCTCTGGGGTTTAGGGTTGGTTTGGGATACAAAGGGGCCAAGTTTAGGGTGCAATTGGTTTCTTACCATGCGGGTTTATGCTTCCAGATCTACGATTGCTGCTGTTTTGGAGGAGGGTAAGTTTCGGGAGGGCCCTGTAGTCGGAAATTTCCTAGCCTTTGCTGCGAATGTATGTCTGTCTGTATGTATGTATGTATGTAGGTATGTAGGTATGTATGTATGTATGTATGTGTGTTTTTCTACATACATATATATATATATATATATGTACACACATATTATACACATACATTGGTCTCAGACTGTGTCTTTTTTGGTTTCTTAGGTTGACATGCTAGTTACTTGGACTGACCCTGCAGGAGTTACACTAAACAACCCTTAACCTGTGCCCTGAGCTTTCGGGAAAGCAGGCCGTTGAAGTTTCACAGTGTCGGGCTCTAGGTTTCAACAAGTTCACTCCTGCCCAGGAGAGTCTAAACCCCCAAACCCTCCTTCCCGAAATCCTGAATGCTAAGATTCTAAACTGGGCTTTGGAGTACCATACTTTATTTTTTTTTCTTAAAGGAACCCTTATGGAATTACAGTTTATACTTTTTTCTCCCTGGTTACTTAAACAAGCTCAGCTAAATTCACAGATTCCTTAAAGGAGCCAATCAAGATCCCTTAGTAGATTAGATCCCTTCAAGGCAAGGGGAACCCTTTCTGAGCTTCTTTCGGCAGCCCCTACCGGAATCCTTGAGGAAACCCTCACCCTAATGTTCCATGTAAATGTAGCCAAAAAGTATATACTTAGGCCTTAAAGGGGTTCGTATGTTGGTACTTTAAGGCCTAAGTGTATACTACATGGCCACATGGAGCCTCAGGGTTATAGAATCCCCCTTATACGTATAGTCTCCATTGTAGTTCCTTTTGGGGGTTACCGTTTAGGATCCTTAGTATGAAACTGGTTAAACCAAAAACAGGAACTACAATGGAGACTATAGGTAGAATCCTGAGGACAACAAGGGCGCAATCCTTGACTGGGCGGAGCGGTTCCAGGAGATGTCGGAGAGCGGCAGCCCCAACCCAAACAACGAGAGCTTCGCGCGGGAGGAGAGGGCTTTCTGGGGCTTTGTGCGTCGGGGCTTCAGAGTTTTAGGGTTTAAGGCTTCAGAGTTTTAAGGTTTAAGGGTGTGTGCGGTTTCGGGTTTTCAGGGTTTGGGTACGAGGGTTGAGGGCTTTCGGGGCTTCCTGCGAGATTTGTTTAGCTGGACCATGTGCCTATGTATTACATATTGTGACCCTAGATACACCCGGAGACTAAGGTTCAAGCATATACCCGAAACGAATGCATGGATCTGTAGATTTATACAAACAAACAGAAGCCACCATGGCTGTTGCTTTGTAGATTGGGTGTGAAGGGTGAGGACCTCAGGAATATGTTGTTGCGTTAAGGACTAATTAGCTGTTTAGGTTTGTTCCGCATGGAAGGATGTAAAACAGTCACAGGTTTTGATGTGGAGCCACAGGTCGTGGAGAGTGGTGTGGAGTTCACGGCCGGCACTCCCCTCAACCGCGAACCCTGAACTCGCAAGCCCCAAATCCTGCTTACTAACATAATATTCGTATAAATCCCTTTAGGTTATATTATATCATTTTATACCATTACTGCAGTGGAAAATACATAACTCTGAAGCTTTCTCTGCCGAAGACCAGGCGGACTCTTCTCTGATGGCCACGCCGACGCCCCGGCCTGCGACACCTCGGCCATCCGAGAAGGAGAAGGACAGCAACACAACTTTGTCATAGTTGGGCAACATTTTAGATTTGTATGGGTACTTAAAACCAACCAATAAGAAATAAAGATGTGGATTTGTAATCACATCCCAACCACGAACTAGAGAAGCTGTAAGCTCTGAGCTTAACCAGCACCCCCCAGACACTGCCATCTGAAGAATACAGTAATCCGAGTGCCATGGCTTGGGGGGGAGCAATCCAGGAGACGCTTAAATCCCAGAACCCAAGAACCGCCAATGCAGAAGGACAACAAGGAGAATCGGATGCCAGCGCCGCCGTTGTCAGCGAGGCCATGTGGCCTTCGGGCAGGGAGATACAAGGCTCTTTTGGGGCTAAAAAGGGCTTGTATAAGGCTCTATCTGGGTTATGTAGGGGTATTATAGGGGGGTTATGGATTCATGTACCTATCGAGGCACTTCACGGTCATTATACTACAATTTATGTAAGATGCAGGCACATGGACCCTCAGGCTTCATATTGAAACCGGCTACCCTTTATAGGAGGCTCGCGATCGCCCAAGTCAAGTTACGGTTGGGGATCTATGCGGACCAAAAGTGGCTGCGGTGTTGGCGAGTGGATGCCACAGATTACACAGCCGCAACAACTTAATGAAACTGCTAAGTTCGCCTGTCTTCCGACATATGCAAAGTTGCTTGTGGCCCTGCTACGTCGAGTTAGATTTCGTCGTTCTCTCTTCCACGATGGGTTCCCGCCTTGATGTGCCGATCGCCCCCAATCCCTAGACCCTTCTTCCGAAACCCTCATGAACCCTATGAGCCTCAAGCCTGAAGCCCTCTCTTCCGTGAGCCGTAAACGAAAGAGAGAGCGAGAGAGAGAGGCATGTATGTATATATACATACATCCCTCTCTCTCTCTCAGCTCACTCAGCCCTGCACACAAAACGATCAGTAGTCTTTAAATTCGATCAATACCTTCACCCTGGTCCCTACACTCTAAACCCTATAAACCCTAAACCCTAATCCCTAAATCCCAAACCCAAGACCCCTAAACCCCTAAACCCTAAACTCTAATCCCGAAACCCTTGAAGGCCCTACCCTTCCCAGCCAGGGGAAAAGGCCCTGTGCGGAGCAGCAGTCCGCGGAGCTTTCCACAGCCACCGAGCCACCTGTCTGAAGAGTATACCATACCCTAAGGGTCCCGGCGCCACACATAAGCATATATACATATACAGGTACGTATGCATAGACAACCACATATATATATACATATATATATATATATACACACATACATATGCATGTACGTATATTTACAAGTTCTACATATACATGTACATATACATGTGCATTTGCGCGGGAATAAGCGGCTGCGGCAGCCGTGTAGGGGCCTTACTAATTAGAATAGGGTTTTGGGGCCCATTATGCTGTATGTAAGTGTAACAAGGATCCCCCCACAATAGTATTGGTAATTATATTTAAGCCTTCGGGGTGGGATTCCGGAAGCTTGTAGAGATCGGTCTTGGGTTGCCTCGACGCGCCATCCTGGCACAAGGAGCGAGAAATGCGATCGGTATTCAGGGTCGTGTTTTTCTCGGGGTTGCATTTGTATGGGTTTCGTTCTTCGAGAGTCAGGTTCATGTAGGAACCGCAAATTCCCAACTGCATGCTGCGAGGCAAGCCGTCCACCACAGCCAAAGCACCTCCAGGTGGATGGGTTCCGTTGTTCAGGTTTAGGGTTTAGGACCAGTTCAGGAGTTTGCTGTGTAGTTGTTTAGGGTGGTTTAGGCCTTCGTCTTGAGGGTTTAGGTTGTGAGCTTGCATCCTGTGCTCCCACAGTACTCAGTACTCTATCCCGAAAATGTCCATATCACATCCCCGATAATGTCCCTGCGCGATCCCCAAAAGCTCAAAAGCCCCAAACCACAAAAGGCCCTCAACCATAGACCCGAAACCCTGGTGAAGTCTATAAAAAACCTTTGTGATTCCATAATGTAGAAGTCTGAATCATTTCCATGCCATTATCCCCGAGAATTCCTGTTAGACTTGAATTGCGCTACAACGTACCACAACACCCTGTTCTACTTATTAGAGGGTGGAAGGCCCGCTTGCTGAATTATCAACGCTTTGAGGCTCTAAGGTCCCGCCCTGAATTACTAAAGGCCCCGCACCCATGATGCCCCTTATGTGTACATATATATATATATATACACACACAAATTCATATGAACAAATAAATAAACATATATATATATATGTATACATATATATATATATATGTACATATTGTGCACGCATACATACATACACACATATATATATATATATATATATACATATATATATATATGTATGTATGCGTGCACAATATGTATGAATATATATATATATATGTATATATACATATATATATATATATATATATATATGTATATGTACATATACGTAGGTGGAGCCTCTAGAGGAACCCCTCAAAATTCCCGTAGAGGCCCACCGGCTTCCCTCGTAAGCGATGCGGACGCACGGAAGCACCGGGATCTCCGCTTGGCATCGCAGTTGGACATGGTTCGCCGGGGTACCCAGACGTTACGAGTTCGGGAATAGGTGGGTTATAGCAAGAACAGGGGTGAGGAAATAGCAATGTTGGCAGTGATCGTATCTTCAACACTAATCATAACCACAATCATAATAATCACGGTGTTACATTTTGATAGTGAAGGTGATCACAATGGATGATGATCATCATGGTTTCGAGCATTTTCCACTTTCGGCAGGGTTTCCCTCTATGGTCTTCGAGTCAACAGGTTTGAGAGAAGGGCGGGCCGTACGGCTATCCGGGATTCTCCAAACCAAGATCACCATGCGATCACCGACTTTCCCGAGGGGTCCAAAGTACCGATATAGTAGAACGTAGGGTTTCTATACTGAAATTACGATTATGATTTGAGGAAGTATTCCCCTTCGGGTTTGGTAGCAGGTGAGGAGGTGCCTAAGCCGGTCAAGCGGTCGACTCCAAACGCAGGGGTTTCGGAGTCACATTATTGGTTTTTTTTGAAAATAGGGGACCCGAATATGGTAGCCCAAGTAGTAGGATCCTTTTTACAAGGGCCCCAACACAAGGTCGAGTCAGAATATTGAATCCTTACCCTAAGGCTCTAAGGACTCATATGGTAAGGCTTTTGGGCCCAAAGACCATACTGTGTAAGGCTGTTGGGCTATTTTGAGGCTTAGAGTTAACCCTCACAGTACAAGCCGAGACCACAACAGCCCACATTCCGTTTCTCGAAATCCGGAATCGCCCCTAAACCCTAAACCCTAAACCCTAAACCCTAAACCCAGAACCTCGAGCCCCAAACCCCAGAACCCTCCAGCCGGAAATCCCGAAACGATCCCAACACCAGAAGCCTGCTAAAAGTCCGCTTTGCGGGTTAGGGTTTAGGGTTTAGGGTTTAGGGGTTTAGGGTTTAGGGTTTAGGGGTTTAGGGTTTAGGGTTTAGGGGTTTAGGGTTTAGGGTTTAGGGGTTCTCACATGACATGGCCACAAGAACAGCAGCTTGCTTTAGAGGATCCGTCAAACAGAAGAGCTTCCAGGTGAAGAGCTCAAAAACAAGTCCAAGGAGGCAAAGGAGTTGGGACCTCAGCCGTGGTTGAGGCTTTAGGGTGTGTAGACTTTAGGGTTCAGGGTTTGGGTTTTTGTGATTTCAGGTTTATGGTTTGGGGATGTACACTTTTGGGTGTGGGCTTCGAGAAGGACGGTGATGGACTTCGGTTCTTGGCTTGCTGGCCGTGTCCGTGTGTGTGTGTGTGTGTGTGGGGGTGGTTCACTGGTTCGTTTTAACTTAGGGTTTGGTATAGGGTCTTGACCCTGGGATAGCAGGGTCGACACAGGGAGTAGTAGCACAGAACGCATCTTCTCACATGTTTCGCCAGAGGACTCGATCAGCACTTCCATCCCAACGAAACCAAGGCACTTGCTAGAGGGCCGATGCCATTAAGGGCATCGAACCAGTGATCTCACTCTTGCATGTGAAACGGACCCGCAGCGGTTGAGCAAGCGGCCAGTGCAGCTCTTGCCTTCGAACTTACCTTCAGTTAGTAGGGAATGGAAGAATGGTAGTAATAGTAGTTATAATTGTACTAACCAAAGGTAAGCGAATTGGAGCATGGGACGTTATGCTGCAGCTGCTTCATGGCGTCCGACATGTCCTCGCCTCCTTCCTGAAACTTACTTGGACATCTTAAAGCCCAAATCAGTAGAGCCTAAATTCCTAAACCCGAAACCCACTCAGGAAACCTTCGTGCCTCTTTGTTTTATGCTTTGCACATGAAGGGGGCGCCAAAGCATGCTGTAGGATCCAAGTAACAAACTCCAAGCACTAGCCGTACTACCCGATATAGACCCTAAACCCTAAGCCCTAAACCCTGAAACCTCAAACCATGCACATGGATCCCAAGGATTTGTTGTCGGAGTAAGGGTCCAGTTGCGCGAGATTAAGTTGAGGTGTCCCCGAGCTTTGGGGTTTAAAGACTGCATAAGAGTTCATGCTTCGGATCCAACCAGCATATTAGTGCCCGGAGAACTTGCTCTTCGGTGCCCGATTGGTGGAAGTATGTACCATTTCGGTACTTAGACCGTCTGAAGTATCACAAATTCCCAACCAGTGAACCCCCCAAACCCGCAGAGCCCTGTTGCGTACAAGTGCACCTGTAGGGTAAGTTGCGGAGCCACTTTCAGGCTCCAGCTTTCCATGGCCACGAAGGCCCGGACGGCATTTGTCTCTTTACCGTAAGGCTCTACTGTAGGGGCCCTAACAATTAGGATAGGGTTTTGGGTAATTTTATACCACGACCATAATAAAAAGGACCCCGGCCGAAATGATATAGGTTATCATTCAGGCTCCTGTTTTTTCAGGGCTTTGAGGTTTAAGGTCGCAGGCCACAAACATGTCAACACGCGCTCTCAGAACTTCACTAACAGAAGATGCCAGACTCGGGCAACATTGTAGCCAAGACCGGTCTCCCGACTATGATATAGTTCGCATGTATGTTGTTCGTGTAGAGCTTAATTAAGCGCTCCGACAATCTGGGTGAGAAGGTCTGAAATCCATGCCCGCACCTGATCGCTCCGGCGGGGAAGTCCACCACCCTCCGCGTCTCAAATAATACACCCCGACCTAGAGGATCAAAGTCTGGTGCGGCCTACAGGTTCAGTTGGTGTAGGACCCTCGACCCTTAGCCTAAACCCTTTAAATCTTGAGCCCAGATGCAATGCCAGCCCTGCAAGCTCCGGGTTCTTGCGCCCTAGGCCCTAGGTCCATTCGCTGCAACAGTGCCGAAACCGAGATTTCAACTTCAATCGCTGAGCCCAGCAGAAAGAGCCAACGCCCTAGAAGGGTCCAAGCATAAATTCTGGCTAGAGGGGTAAAAGCGAAATTCTGACCTCTGCCCAAAAGGTTCCAAAGAAGCAGTCCTATATCCCTACCCCCGACCCTGAACTCTTCAGCATTGAGCCCTTGAATATGTGCACGTCCTGAAGCTCTTTCTGAATACTTGGGCTTGGGGTGCAGCCTCCGGATCCCAACGAGAGCGCGAGAAGGACCGAAGAATCGACGAGCTGCAGAAGAAGATGGAGGAGCGGATCTGCTTCTGTCATATTTGGTATGTACCTGGACCCCAAAAGTATGTAGAATAATAGCCTTTTGTAGGTTTGGGCCATTATTTTACCTACTTCTAGGTCTAGGTAATGTTCTTCCTCCAAATATGTTCCAAGTATGAAGACCGCACAGAGCCCTAGTTAAGTTATTCAGGCTTCTCTAACAAGTTTTTGCAATTAACTAAGTGGTTTTGGAGGAGCATATTTCGGTTTGTAAGGTTTAGGATCATATAGCGAGTCTCTGGTTTTTGGAGTTTCCATTCAAGGTTCCACGATCTAGGGCTCACATTGGCATGCTTCAGGGTTTGTGGCCGCGGACTTGTCAGGGCTTGTTTAAGCTTCTCAAAAAATTGGCATGTCTGCCGCACTCACCATATCTGTCATATCTCCCAAGTTCCACCTTCGGTGCCTTGATGTTCCATTCTTGGACCTTCTCCGACCCCCTAGGCCCTAAACCCTACACCCTAACCCTGAACGCTAACCCCTGAACCCTAATCCCTAACCCCCCCCCACCCTCAAAAAAAAGCAGCAGCACAGAAAAGGGGGTGGTCCCTACGCAGGAGCTGGGCTCTGATTGCCGTGAGGCCCGCCGCAGTACCGCCGAGGCTGGGGAGGAAGAGGGTCCCGGGTCATAGGAGGCCAAAAACGGGTTTTAGCCTCTGGGGTTTAGTAGGGATTAGGGTTCCCATAATCCGGTTCAGACTCAGGAATCCCTGCCCCAAGAATTTTAAACGCCCCTTTGGACTTCCCTTCATTTTGAGCAAAGGAAGGGAAGGATGGTTTGGGTTTACATTACATGTATGAGGGGTTTGGCGCTTCGGGTATGGTTTTTAAGGTTTAGGGGGCCTTAGGTGCAGGGCTTAGGGCTTACGGCTTGGATCACGGTCGCCCACAGCGCCGGAGTACGTGAGGGAGTGTCTCATCCCGGCCCCGGGCTTTACAGGCTGCGGCTGCACTGCCTGGCAGGATGTCTGGTCCTGTCTGGTTAACACTTGTGGATGCTTGTGGCCTAATTACCCAGACTCAGTCGCTACTTCTTGACAAGGGACATCCTCGTCACAGATCGGCATGCTCCATACCTGGGCAATAGTCGAGACGGGTGCCCTGCTAGTGGAATTTCTGTAATGTTTGCACACGGCGATACCAGTTTTGACCAAGAGCATATAAGAGCATCCTTTAAGTGGATTCAGGGCTTTGTGTGCTCATGGATCGGATTCAGAGTTTAGTTTTAGGGGGAAGTCCTACAAGGAGGTTAGGTTCTGGATTTGTGAGGGGTGGTCTTGGTCTCTGGGTGCTCAAGTTTCGGCTAGCTATGGGGGTTATGCCTGCAGCCCAAAACCTAGCCAACACGAGGATACTGCGTGCACGAGATCCTGCATTACCCACAATGCGAGGTGCCGTACCTCCCCGCCTAACTCCCATACTTCTGGGTGCTGGCGGTAATGCAGGACCTTGTCCATCAATAGGCCTGAACCCTTTCGCTGAAGTCTCACAACAATGAAGAATTCGGGCCACAGGCTCTTTTTTGTTTTTGCGATAGACTAATCAGAAGTTTCCCTGAGCAGTATAAACCCATAGCGGCAAGTTGCACGGTTTGCAGGATCCCGTTATCCTGTCTCCACAGGCGACCCAAAATACTGAGCCCAGAATCCGGAAGCCGAATATTTAAGTAAGCCTTTAAAGGGAACTCCAGAAAGTTGGAATATGGTTTCAGGGTAGGATACCTTGTAATTTACCATAAAGGGTTTAGGATAATCATATTCCAACTTTCTGGCTTTTACCTTAGATCCAAATATGGGGGCCTAAATAATTACCTAATGATACTCTTTTTGGGGCTCCTGAGTCTGAATATAGTATAATGGGCCCCAAAGTCTAACTTTTTGGGTTTTACTTGAAGCACAACGCCCCAGACGGCGTCAGACCTCAGCCGGATATTGGACCGGAAGCCTAACCCTGGAGCGTAAGCCTTGTACCTTATTTTGGGGTCCTTATAATAAGGATCCTAGTATTTAGGGTGTTTTTTTTAGGGTCCTATTTTCTGAAACTTTGAAGCCCGGAAACCCTCGACTCGTCCCTGCTCCCTGGACCCCAAAAGTATGTAGAACAACAGCCTTTTGTAGGGTTTGGGCCATTATGTTACTTACTTTTGGGGGGTCTAAGTAAGCCCTCGGCCCTGAGCAGAACAGCGGCAGGTGGAAGGTGAGCTTGCCACGAAGCGACGGCAGCTCCATGACAAGGAGCAGGCACAGAAGGGAGAAAGGCTAATCTGCGAAGGGGTTGGGGGGGAAGGAGTGGTGTCAGTGCGTAGTTTTGGGGTTCAGGATTTTGAGGTTTTGTCGTGCATTTAGGTTTTGATGTTTAGTGCTGGAAAGAGAGCGCCGAAGATCATAAAAAGCACATCAGGAATTGCTGGCTCTGCAGCGCAAGCACGAGCATCTTCGATCCCAGAATGAGGACGGGATGAAACCCGGGCCAATGGTGACATCATGTTACATCTTCTTCAGGCCTCTGCTGTCCGTGTATAGGGTTTGATGGAAAGCCTACATGGATACTTTGCTGACCACGCGCATTGGCATGCTCTTGCTGGCTAGAAGTGCTTACCTCGACCCCAGAAGTATGTAGAATAGTGGCCTTTTATAGGTTTTGGGCCATTATTATACCTACCTTGGGGGGTCTAGGTACTACCAAGACGGACTAGTTTTCAAGCACAGCATCAACGGCATGAACACTGATCTTGTACACCCTTAAACAGCTCCAAGGCCTGAAAAATCGCAGCACTCCCCTTTTTAAGTGAGGACCGCAGCAAGCGTGCAGACAAGAAGGAGGAAGAGCCGTCGCCCCAAGACTTCTGAAATTGCAGAGGAGAAGCAGCGCTTGCTGTTACTGGCTTGGGGTTCAGGGTTTTGGATTGTACCTATAGTCTCCATTGTAGTTCCTTTTGTTGGTTCACCAAAAACTCCATTAGAGGATCCTAACCCATAAAATTGGTTAGCCCCAAAAAAGGCCCAATGGAGACTATGACTATAGGTAGGGTCTAGGGTTCCGAGTTCCTCTGAGTAATGCAGACCCGTGACTACAAAGTTCACTGCTGTACCCAGAGACTCCAATATCCCTTAATTCAGGAATATACCTTAAATTATAGTAGGATCCCGAATATGATTTAAGGGATATTCCTTAATTAAGGGATCTTGGAGTCTCTGAGTACAAGGCTTCAGGGCGAAGGGTTCGTTAATTAGATCTCTACAGCAGAGAACCCTTTGTCGAACCCAAGCCCTAAAGCCATCACCCTTAAACCTTACGAGCCCCAAGCCGAAGCACTAAAGGGAACTCCAGAAAGTTGGAATATGGATTAATGGCAGGATCCCCTATAATTTACTTTACAGGGAGTATGATAATGATATTCCAACTTTCTGGCTTCTACTGCAAGCCCTGAATCCTAGGCCCTCAGCCCTTAGAGCACTATAAACCTTATAAGCCCTCAGCCCCTAGCCCGACCTAAACTCCCTAAACCCAAAGTCCCACAGCCAAAAGGTTCCGTGCCATGAACCTCATAAGCCCCAAACCCTAAACCCTAATTGAATACCTACCTAGACCCCCAAAAGTAGGCAACATAATGGCCCAAAGCCTATAAAAGGCCATTATTCTACATACTTTTGGGGTCCAGGTCGGGTTCACGGGTTGTGGGTTCTAAGTTCTACTTTCCTCCGAGTGGGATAGGTAAGACCCAGATTAGGGCTCAGTGTCCAAAGCCACGAGGTTCCGCACCATGAGCCTCGAGCTCCAGCGTGCGAAAGCTTGCGGGAGCCCCATTCTCCGACAGGAGCGAACAAAAGCTCAGCCAGGCTCCAACAAGGGCTTTAGAGGGGTTTCGACAAGAATTTTAGACGGGTTTCTACAAGGATTTTAGAAGGGTTTCTACAAAGATTTTAGAAGGGCTTCTACAAGGCTTCTACAATAATTGGTATGTTAGAGAATTGACGGTCTATGGCAAAGGAATGCTTACGGTTTCGGATTTGTTCGTATTTTGATTGATGGTTGTGTGCACCTAGTTGCTGTAGGGCCTAGACAGGCGTGTTCCAAGGCTCATGCAAGAGTTGTACAAGCTCTTCTGGGCTTGAAGCTCTTGGGGTTGGAGGTGCAGGATTCAGGACTTGAGGGTGGAGGGTTTTTGGATGGTGTTGAGTCTACTTTGCTCGTGGGTTGAAGCTTTCCGAGACTCGCACAAAAGGGAAGCCGGATCCCTTCGGTGTCGTTCCCAGGCCAACAGTCAACTCCCAATGCATGCTGCATCATCTTGCACAAGAGACCCCATGCAGACCATAAGTTATAAACATTAAACGTCTGAAGGCTCCAATCTTACATCGCGACCCTAAGCCCTTCACCCTCGGAGCCCAAAAACACAGATCCACGGCCGTAAATCCAAAAAACACCTGTTCAATCTCCAACTGATTGACTTCAACCAGCCGAAACCCCAAGCCCTGTAGTACCCTTGTAAGGAGACCCTTTAGGGAACCCTGAACCTTCTGGCACGCCCCCGGAATCTAAGAAGCTTTGAAGGGATTCTAAGCCTCTAAACCCCAAACCCCGAAGCCCCTGAACCCCGAAACCCCAAACCCTAAACCCTTGAACCGGGCGGTGACTTCTGAGGGCGCTTCTTTTCTTTGGTGTGAGCCCAAATCCTGGGTGGGACTTCTTCTGCAGAAAAGGCCCCAACACACTTTAAAAAAACAAAAAAACCCTTGAACCCGTAAACCCTGAAGCCCCTATAAACCCCTAAACCCCCAAACCCCTAAACCCCCAAACCCCTAAACCCTAAACCCCTAAACCCTAGGTCCCTAGAACCCTAAACCCCTAAACCCTAAACCCCTAAACCCCGAAGCCCCTATAAACCCCTAAACCCCCAAACCCCTAAACCCTAAACCCCTAAACCCTAAACCCCTAAACCCTAAGTCCCTAGAACCCTAAACCCCTAAACCCTAAAGGGATCCCAAAGTGCTCAGGTGCCGAGGCTGCTGCATCGGAGCGGTCCGCCTTGGAGCGCGACGCGAAGCAGTCCGAGCAGAAACTTCGTGGGGTCCTAAAAGCCTTCCTTGACCTACCAAAACCTACTATGTTGTAGGGTCCCTATATTTTCAACATTAGGGTTTATAGTAAGAACCTACAAAAAAGTAGGGTTTGGTAGGTTAGGGTTGTGGTACCCTTCCCTACTTGGAGGTTCATGGGTAGTTATAAGTGGGGTCACAATTAGGGTAAGTGTGCTTTTCACCCATATTAGGGGACTTATAACCCTGCTTATAACAACCCATGAACTAAGGCTCGAAGAGGCTTCTGTTGCCCTTCCATAAGGGTCCATGTACTCATATGGGTAGTTGTCAAAATTAGGGTCCCTTTTTGGATAACCTAAATAATAAGTGCCGCATTATAGTAGGGAACCAAAAAGGGACCATAATTTTGACAACCACCCATATAGGCTTCCTTTAAGTGCTCCTTTTAAGGGCTCTATAAGGCCCTAAATCAAGGGGCTCCCAAGGTGGGATGTGTGGGATGAGGGCTTTAGGGTTCATAGGGTTTAGGGTTTAGGGTGGGATGAAGGTAGTTGGGTGATCCCAAAATGAGAGTCCATATATAAGGGACCCTTAATCCTACCTACCTTCATCTCACCTTTTGAGGCCTCCAAGAAAAAGGCTTCTGGTGCCCTGGGGCTCCAGTTGTCTAACAAGAAGGTTACGAACCATGTATTTTGTGATCCAGCAGCTCAGTATCTATGCAACTGGAGCACTAGGTTGAGGGTTTTGGGGTATAGAATAGGCTTCTGGTAATCAAGGGAGTCCAAGTGCCTGCATGGTGCCAAGCATAGGATTTCTTGTGATCGTTTATATGACGTCTAAGTACCTGCATATCACAGAGCAGGGTCTTCTAGAAGTATTCGGAAGTGTCAAGTTTATGGATAGTGCAGCACTTACAACCCTAAACTCTAAACCCTAAACGCTAAGCTCTGAACCCCAAACCCTATAGGTATGGGTCCTACTTACAGGATCATGGGACTTAGCAACTAGGGTAAAAACCCCAGTTAAGGTACTTGTAACCCTACTTACTAAGTCCCATGATCCTCCAAGTAAACCCTGAACCCTAAACCCTTATAGTACCCCTATAGATCCCTTAAAAGGGACCCCTATAACCCTACTTACCAAGTCCCATGATCCTCCAAGTAAACCCTGAACCATGCCTGTCGGCCGGATCTTCCGAGATCAGCAGCAGCGGCGCTTTGACGAGTTGGAGGGAGGTCTCCAGGTCCCGCTGTAAGCAGCGAAATGGTAAAGGTGTTTTAGGGTTTAGGGTTCGTAGTGCTTTCTGATTTGGGGTTGAAGGTTTTATGATTTAGGGTCTAGGGTTCTAGGGTTTTCTGATTTGGGGTTTAGGGTTTAGGGCTGAGGTGCGTGGTCATGGCCGACAGCGGCTCGGATTTCGAGCATAAAGGAAGTGTAAGCCCAAGAATGTTCAGCTGCTAAGCACTGATTATCGGACCTGGGCAAAACAAGTAGGTCATCCAGGCAAACGGTACTGTAATTCAGAGCCCAGGTAAATGCCAACAGGCCCCTTCAGCCCTAAACCCATAAAGCCCGAAACCCCCAAGCTATTGTACTGAACCCTAGACCCCAACCTAAACCCCAAGCCCCGAAATGCCCTGAGAGTTCTAAAACCAAACATCCTCGGCCGCACGCCAGTCGCACATCGAAGTCCTCGAGGAGCAGCTCGCCCGCGAAGTGGCTCGACGTCGGGAGATGGAGGCTCTTTTGAGTTCGTTCCTTTGGGATGCAATTGCCAAGTGCTAATTTCACCCTGAACCTTAAACTATCAACCCCAAGCTCTCCCAAGTTTAGAGTTTAGGGTTTAGGGTTTAGGGTTTAGGGTTTAGGGTTTTGGGTTTAGGGTTTAGGGTTTTGGGTTTAGGGTTTAGGTTTTGAGGCTTTGGGTCAGGGGCCCGACATCAGCTTCAGCTTAGTGCTCAGGTATCTGCGGTTCTGGGCTCGTACTTTGCTTAAACCTAGATCCCCAATACCCAGCCTTTAAACTTCTTGGGTTCAAAAAGGTTTAGTAGGAATCGGAAAGTTTAACCTTCTATTTCTATGGTATATTGGGGGAGTAAGTAAAGGACCATGGGACTTGGCTATATATACGCAAGCTAATTATAGGAATAGATAGACCTACTTTGGAAACCCCAAACCCAAGAACTCTACAGCCGGAACAAAAAGAAGCTGGAACCCTGAAGCCCGAAGAAAACACTCTGCAGGCGCAGCAAGAGGAGGTGGGAGCTGAGCGTCAGGAGCTCGGGTTAAGGGTTTGGGGGTTAATAGGGCCTGCATATGGAGGTCTAAACATTAGGTGCAGTTTCCCCCAGACCCCCTAGTCCGAATCACTCCGGCCCTTGCAGTATGCCTTCACTTCCACGACAGGCTTCAAAGAGCTTCCCTTGCGGGGTGGGTGTGGAAGTGTTGGAGCTAGGACGTCGGGTTTCAGGCATCAGGGTGCCAGAATTACAAGCTTCCGGACTAAGGATACGCGCATGAATGTTCGGAATTACCTTGCCGCGGGGGTCGAGGAACTTGGGAATCTTATACTCTCATTTGTGATTGGCGCGAGCCAAGCGACCTAATATTGGATTAGGTATTTCGACCCTTAGCAACTCTTAGCCTTTCCTCCACTCTTCAAAGGTTTTACTGAGGGCTTGGGAGGCTGAAGCAATTAGCATTCAGGGGGATACCTGATCCGGTGTTGAAATTCGTGTCCGGAGTGCAGCGAGGATTCCCGTTCTCAGTTTCGGCGAAGATTCTTCTGTTTGAATTTTGCACCCTCCCTTACAGGCATCGTGTGCGGTGGCGGATCTGCATTGATCGGAAGTGAAATATCTCGCGAAGTCGCCTGCGTTTGCGGGACAAGTTGTGTCAAAAACTCGACGTTCCATTGCTTGGAAGGCAGTTGGGGGTTGAGGATTTACGTGAACATTTTGAATTTCCCCTTTCGGCGAAATCGACAATAGAGAGCTATTCAGTGCCTAGTCTATGAGAGCCAGTATGCTGAGGTCATCATGGCGAGTGTCGGCTGGAGGCCTGCGTGACTAATGTAGGGACTTTAATAATTCTTAAAGGGGGTCTATAAGGGTTACAATAAGGGATCTATAAAGGGCTCTGTATTATTGGGACCTTAAGAATTAGAACAGGGTTTTGGGGAACATCAAACTATAAGAGAAATGAAGAACCCCAAATTGTATTGGTAGTTATTTAGACCCCTGTAGTATGCTTCGACTGTTCAGAAGAACATGTTGCGCGCCTACTTGGGGGATCGTGGGACTTCGTAAGTCCGGTTTTACATACTGTAAGTGGGGTGTGAGGATTTAAAGCTACAGATTGTTTTGCTTCAGGCTCCATTAAGAATGGGGCCCGGATGCATGATTTGACCCGTTGTGATCCTTTTTGAGCCAATTCAATCGGAGCCTCTACTAACACTAACCCTGCGGGTTTCACACTGCAAGGTTTTGTGTTGAAGGAATCATTACGTTCGGCCGCAAGGCGCCCTGTCGTCGTCCTGCCGTCAGCTTGTTTGCCTTGGCATCAACTACCCAGAGACTCCAATATCCCTTAATTAAGGAATATACCTTAAATTATAGTAGGATCCTTAATATGATTTAAGGTATATTCCCTAATTAAGGGATATTGGAGTCTCTGGGTAGGTTGCCGAACAGTTTCCCGAGACCCTAGGCGACGCCAAAAGGGGCACCCTTCTGTTCGAGGGATGTCTGAGGAAGCCAAGCTACAGCACGGTTTAGGGTTTAGGGTTTAGGAGACCACAAACCCTAAGTTTAGTGGAGTCCCGTTCTCAGAGTTTGACCGTCTCGTTCTTGCTTCTGAAGTTGTGATGAGAAGCACTGAATCCAATTCGGACTGTCGCATTCCCAACTGCATGAACCCTAAAGTCAGTAAATGTAGGTTGCTGTGTAAACCAGCTTTTGTAGAGTTACAGATACCCGCAGAACAGTGTTTGAACTTTGAAGGCCACTAGAACAAGCCCTAGCAACAAATGCGAACATCTCTGTGTGACGCATTGAGCGAAGGAATCACAGAAGCGTTGTGACGATTTGCAGAGTGCCTCTGGCTTTGGTGCGGGGGGTTCCAGCAATATGAGAGTAAAGGGATTAGTGGTTTGCTGTGCCCCTCTTCCAAGGGCTTCCAAGGGCTTCGAGAGTAGGCTCGAAAGCCAGGGTCTACACAAGCGCTTGCAGGAAATGTTGCAACTAGATGGTTGTACAGTTGAAGTCTCATGCTTGTGTCGTGGCTTTTTGGTTCTGCTGAGCAGCACTGCAAAGAATGGCTTGGGAGGAGGAGTGTGTTCGGAAGATTGCTCCGAGGGGTGACCGGGTGGATGGATGATGTCCAAATGAGGGGTTGTTGCCATGCACTGGGATCGCTCTTTAACATCATGAGTCCTCAGTGTACATGTATAATGACGGTACAAAAGCCTTTGGCCTCGCAAGGGGTTCCTATACAGCTACTTCAGGGTAGGCAGCTGTAAACAACACTATACTAATACTGCAACCGCAGGTATGTGGGCAGGGTAAGTATACACTCACCACGACCATACTGTGATGTTTGGGGACCCTGTTCCACCCAGAAAACCCAATCCAACTGCTACCTTACCCACAATAACGCCCATGCCAGGTGTTCCGAACCCTGAAGCCTAAACCCTACACTACCCCCTAAACTCAAACCCACAAGTCTAGACCCTAAACCCCAAACGCAAGCAAGCCTTCAACCCCAAGCCCCAACAATCCCCAAGATCCGAAACTTAAAGCCTAAACTGTAAACCCTAAACCCTAAACCCTAAACCCTAAACCCTAAACAAAAACCCTAAACCCTAAACAAAAACCCTAAACCCTAAACCCGAAAACCCTAAACCCTGAAGCCCTAACTCTAGCTGAGCCAGGGATGGTGGAGCAGCTGCAAGAAGAGCTGAAGGCCAAGATTGCCACTGCCACTGCGGCGCAGAATTCTGGGATGCTAGGGGTTTCGGGTTTTGAGGTGAGAGTGGGTACATAACCTCAAAAACCTAGTAATATTGAGGCCGAGATAATTACGAATACTATTATGGGGTTCTTATTTTGGTTGCAGAATAATTTACCCCTTATGACCTGTTCCAATTATTAAAGCCCCTATATTATAGAACCCTTATAGTAACCCTTATAGACTCCCTTTCAAAACACCCTACTCTAAAACATAAGTCCCCTATATTATGTTCTCGTATCGTGTTCCACCCAGGCCATCACTCGAGCAGATGCGCAGGCGAAGCTCGAGGAGCCATTAAAGGGCTTCGGCTGTTTAGGGCTTCATTTGGGTGGTTGTCAAAATTATGGACCCTTTTTGGGTCCCTATTATAGTACCGCACCTCTTATTTAGGGTACCCCCAAAAGGGACCCTAATTTTGACAACCACCCATTTGGGGTTCAGGAGTAGGAGGTTGAGGGTTCAAGGTTTTGGAATTCTGAAAGGATTGCTGGGCTTCGCGTTTCAGTTTCGCTACCCGAACTAAATAGGCATGAATAGGCCCTACATTAACTTGGACTTAGAATCCCAAATAAATCCAAGGCTGAACTGCTAAACTCCAAATTTCTTGGAACCAGTATAGAGCTTTCAGATTCATAGAATGCCCTGAGTTTAGTTTCGGTGGTCGTTCAATGATCCCCCACTTGCAAGACAATAGGCAATGGATGCCTGGGTTTCAGGTTTCTGTTTAGGTCTACGGTTTCGGGCTCACGGTCGAGGGTATTTTGGTTTGGGGCCTGGGCTTTACTGTCAGCGAAGATTCGGGGCTTCGGGTCATGGCAGTCTTGCTAATTGTGTATGTCCTCGTTCTGTGCAATCCTCTGAGCGCTACGATGAACTGCCGGGACCCTGAAAAACTCTATATACCTTGTTGGGCAATCATATAAGTAACTCATTACCTGGAAAGCTGTTGCTTTGGGGTTGAAACACTCTGCCTAACATCCTTGTAAGCTACAGATTCGATTTTGGTGCTTGTAACAAGAATCAAGAACCACAGGTAGCACTCACGCTCACGCCAGCCGGGGGTCCGCCTCAGACCTCAAACGCCCCATGTATGTAAATATAATTATGTGTATATCATCCATTTACATATATGTTCATTTGTTTATAGATATCTTTGTAGATGTACATGTATAATATATATATATATATATATATATAGGTATATATTCTGTAAACTATGAACCCGAAGTCTTAAGAGACCCCGCAGGACGAAGTGCAGACACTGCGTGCCGAGAAGGAGGCATCCTCCGGGCTTCTTCCCAAACCTTCTTTTGGGTTGCTTGTGGGGCTGCTGTTAGGGACTTAGGGTTTAGGGTTTAGGGGTTTAGGGGTTTGGGGTTTAGGGGTTCGGGGTTTAGGGTTTAGGAGTTTAGGGTTTTAGGATTTAGGGTGCAGGGAGGGGCTCCTGTCAGGGTTTCTTCTTGTGCTTCCGCTTGGGGCTCCTGTTCTGCATGCTGCACTGGTATCTCTACCGGTGTCTCTAACAGGGAACCTACAAAAAGTGTTCTAACACCATAAACCTTAAAGCCTATCTTCTAAGCCGAAAGCCTAAAACCCCAAACGCCTAGAGCCCTAAACCCTAAATCCTAAAACCCCTAAACCCATATCCTAAACATTAAAGCCTCTGAATTTCCTAAGCATAAGCCCTTGAACTTTAAACCTTGATCCCAGAGATAAGAATTTCCTGAGCTACATAAGCCGAAAGCCTGAAACCCCAAACCCCTTCAGCCTACAACACAAGAATTTCCTGAGCCGCGAGGGGCTGCTGGGCACGGCAGCCGACACGGCGCGACGGCTGGAAGCCGCAGTCTCGGGACTTATGCTACCCTAAATAGTAGGATCCCTACGATTGATGATATAAAATCCTGGATTACCCATAATAAGGAATTTACCGTTGTTCCCATAGTTTAGGGCCCTAAAAGTATGCAGGATTTATATCATCAGCAGTATATGATAAGGACCCCCAACATACGGTACCCCTAATTTTGGGAAACTCTCCTGTGAAGATCAGGGGCTCCTCAAAAGGTTCCCCCAGAGCTTATGAAAGCCACCCTTTTAAATTAAAGGTTTCCTGAAAGGCTCCATGTACCTTAGATCCTTAAGCCTTAAAGGAGTCCCTAATATAGGTACTTTAAGGCCTAAGTATATACTATACGGGTATATGGAGCCTTAGAGTTCCTCACAGTTAAAGAAGTTGGTAAAACGGTGTCTTGAAAGGGTTCCTCAGAGCCTGGCAGGGTTCCTCAAAAGGTTCCTCAAAGGGTTCCTCAAAGTTAAAGACTTTGTTAAAGTGTTTCTGTAAAGGGATCCTTTGTGCCCCAGCCGGTTCCTGAAAGGGTTGTAAGTTAACGGATTCCTCCAAGGGTTTCCTAAAGGGTTCCTTCAGGTTGAACTGCTTCTTAAAGGGTTCTTTCAAGGTTTCCGGTGTGCCTGAATGGGTTCCCTAAGGGATTTGGGGTTTGGGCTTTGACGGTGTAGGCTTCTGTTTGCGGGTGTTTTGTAGGACTTGGGAAGTAGAGTTGTAGTTGTGGTTGCTTGCAACCTTCGCTAAGTTACCTGTAGCTTGAAATACTAAGTCTCACTATTAAGGAGAATCCGGGCCCCGTTCCATTAAATGCTACTTCGCCGTGTCCGGATTTAGGACTTTCAGGGTCTCCCCATATTGGATCCAGTCGGCCCTCTGCCTCAAGCAGAACTATGCCCTCAGGGTCCGTGTGCCTATAGGGTTGAGGTTTCAGGGTGTAAAAACACTTAGGCACCTAATTATGTAAACCCTTTCAGGCCACAGTATATCGTAAATAGCTGAATGGAGTGTTTAGGGTTAGGCTACTGACTAAACCTTCGGCTCTACACAGCTGAGAACTGCACAACCATATATCCCTGGTCCCTGAGGCTCAAAGTAGCGTAATTCCTCTGCGCAGTAAGATATGCAAGCAGGGGGGTGAGAAGCATCTTTCATCCCTGTGCTGCTCAACTTGCGGTCTGCAACCAGGACAGCGCAGGCCCTAATGCTCTCGGTTCAGTGTTTGAGGCAGATGCCTTCACTACTCCCTTGATAAACGCCAAACACTAGCGCGAAACCTCAGGTTCGAGGGTGGGGGGGGGGGGTGTTCGGAGCCTCATCACCTCCTGTGCATGCACCCTGCTGCTCAGCCAGGTGTGCCAGAAGGACTCCAACACTTGCCTGTTGGTTTGCTTCGGTGACGAGGGGATTACCCACGCAGCCATGCCTGGGATGTATCCCAAAGGGTCGAAGGCACTTAAATATCCTAAAGTTAGTACTATACAATTACTTATGGACCCTTTGGGTATGGCCCTCAGCCCGAAAGTCGCTCACTGGATCCTGCGATTCCGCAACGGTTGCGGTCTGTCGCAGGAAAGCCGATACACCCGAAATCCACAAACCCTTGCAAGCTCCTTCGGTTGATGATGTAAATCCTGCACTACCTTAAAAAACCCTAAACTATGGGAATAATGGTCTATTCCGTTTAATGGGTAATGCAGGATTTATATCATCAACCGTAAGTCTCTCACGCTTAGAGGTGTCGACTTTTGAGGGCTCTTACACGCGGCTTTGCTTCTTCGGGCTTCGGAGGGTGACACGTCCTGAAGGTTCAGGGATCCGGGGGGTCATGGCCGGGGTTTCAGGTGCTTACAAGGGACCTCCATGGCGCTGTAATAGGGTTGTGGTGCAGATGATAGTATAAGTATAGGGATCGTAAGAGACTGGTATTTGGAAGACCTGCAACCTGTCAGCGATGGGAATGAGGGTTCAGGGCTTCGGGAGTAGCATGAACATGGATGAGGGATTCAGATATTGTCGGGTTGCGCATCTCTGGGCTTTAGAGTCCACAGCCCAAGGGCTGGGTGCATGGTTTACCGGTTCGGGTTGTAGAATGTCGGATTCAGCGTTTATCCAATTACTTGGTTTTTCATGAACCATCAAGTCATTGCCATAGATTCTCCGACACCGATAACTAAGAGCAACAAGACAAACGGCATAAGATCTGAATGTAGAGCGAAGGCTAAATGTTTCCGTGTAAGTTTGTATGTATAGTCGTGATCGAACCCAAACCAGCAGCCTCCAGACCCTCGTACTAGGTAATTAAGAAAGAAGATGAGGATGGATGGGTGGATGGATGGATGGACGTGCGTCTGTGCCTCTATAGGTATGCATGGATGTATGCATGTCTGCGTGTACGGATGCACGCACGCATGCATGTGTGCATGCGATGGACGGATGGATGGACGGAGGGATGTGATGGCTGGATGGATTTATACGTCTCAGTCGTGACTTGAGTTGCTTACCTCAGCTGCATGAGGACCATGCATTTGTAGACCAAGCATTGAAGAGCTCGAAAGTATACATGGGACGAGCTGCTGTAAAGATCTATTCAGGCGATTGTCAGTTATGAAGCCGGGCACAGGAGCTCAATGACACGACCTCGAAAAGCACAGCACTTGAGGCAGAGCCCAGCACTCAGTAGCTGAGACTGTGACATCTCAGAACCTAACCTAAAGCCTACGTGACAGGCAGACTAGAGAATCTAATGGCCGTTCTTCTCAGATTCATTGTGTTGGTGGCTTCACGGCTTTCGGGTTGTGGCTGCAATACACTTCAGCCTAACATCTTCAACATAGAATACTTCCTAACGATGCTGTTCCTAGGCGGGCTTGCCTATGATGGTCTACCGCAAAGGCCCATGTAGGGCTCAGCGTTTAGAGGTTTCGCGAGCCAGGTTCGTTTCTGAAGTGCAGTTTGGCGGTTCCGAAACCCTAAATGCCCTAAACCTTGAAGCCACAATCCTGCCTCAGCCGCACTTGAAGGACTAATTGTGGCCTTCGTACCCAGTAGCCACGGTGAAAATACGCTAGCTGTAGTTACAGGCTTTCTTATAAGTCAGCCCCAATTCGGGTGCTCGTAATCGCACTTCCAGCGTCCCCCAACCCCAACATGTACAGCCTAAACCCGAAACTTAAACCCTATACTAGCCCTATACCCCAAGCCCTCAATCCTGAACCCTTAACCCCATGCCCGATACCTTCAGCCCTAAACCCTAAACCGTTGACCCTCAATCCTAAATCTTGTAATTTCCTCAAACCCTAAACCTTCCGTACCCTCTTAGCAGCTTCATGAAAAGAATCCTTTTCACGGCGGTCTGTAGCTGCTGCAGAGGCTCTTGCAACCTCGGTCGTGTCATGATCTAGGTTTCAGAATCATGTGTTGAGACTTGCTTCGAGTTGGTTTAGCGCTGTTCTGTTCACTCGTGGATCTCGGTGGACAGCTCACTGTACGAAACGTAGATCCTGGGCTTCACCTCTACTTAGTTCACTGCAGGCAAAATGGCGCCGTGTGGGCGGACATAAGGTTTAGGTTTCGGTGAGTCCGTTCATTGCACGCCTCACTCAGCAAGCCATGGCGCTGAAACAGCCCCTGCTGCTGTTTTCCCTTGGCAGCTTTTGTGGCCCCCTGAGCATGATCGAGCCATAGCACACTGGGCTTTAGGCCACAGGATTTTGGGGTTCTGGATTCAGAGGTGTTGGGATTCAGGGTTTAGGGTTTGAGGCTTCAGGGTTTCAGGTTCATTCGGAACTTCATCGTGCTGCCACACCCACTAGAGCTGTTAAGCTTGGTGGCCCATGGCAGGTTGTGTGCATTGTAGACGGGTTAAGAAAGACCCTCCCGTAGAAAAGGCTTCACTCGCGATCGTGATGTTGATGCCTTTGGAGACACTCGTGCTCCACACGGGTAACCTTTCGGGTATATATTTATATTGTTTCGTTATTATATTCCCTAAGGAACAGCTAAAATTGCATTTTTTGCTAGGGGTCTGGGTTCGGTACAGGAACATTTAGAAGGGTACCAGTCGCACTGTGGCTTGAGATTACGGCTCCAAGGCTTGGCGTATATTTAGGGTTTATACTATTTTGGTTTTTACTTGTTTTGTTTATAGTATCATATGTCCCCAAACCCTTTTCTAATTATTGAGGCCCCAATAGCAGGGCTTGGTTGGGTGGCTTTACGTTGCAGGGCCTTCTGTTGCTCATATGGGATCCGAATTGGGCTTTGAGGGTCGAAGATGCAGGACTTTCGGTACCGCGCCTTGAACAAAGAGCAAACGAGAGTCATCATGGCCCAAACGCCGTGAGAAAGGGTTGGTGAAAAGAAGTTCTGTTACATCTGATGTGTACATAAGGGTCCCTTACGGTTCGACGGCGTGAAGGTCTGCTTCTCCAGTCCCTTCAGACCGTGGATTGCAGCACCTTCCTTCTTTTTGTTTGGAAAACCCGTTTTGTGGCAGGGTTTATGCACGGGTTTTCGGTTTGGGGTTTAGGCTAAGATCTATTTCAATGGAAATTCAGCAATCAAGCAAGCTGTACTTCCATTCATTCAGAGTGCAATCCGGAGCCCTTATAATTTCGAAGCCCTAAACACTACACCCCAAGCCTTGAAGTCCTACACCCTGCCCGAAACCCTCGTAATTTAGAGATCCCAAAGACCCAGAGCCCAAGGCAAATTCCCAATCCAGAAAGCCATGAATCGCACACCCTAAACGCTCAAACATTGCTCTAAAACTCTAATTAAGCCCCTTGAATTCTAAGCATTATCTTCACCCTAGGAAATCATAACAAGGAAGCCTAAGACGGTTGTATTCAAAGGATTCAGTACCGACCCTGAAACCCGAAGACCTTTTCCGGAAGTATGTTTTGCAAGGAGCTTTATCAACCCTGATGGACCCCACTAAAACCTGACAAAGTCTTTGGGCTGAGGGTTTAGGATTCGGGGTTTAGGGTTTAGGCATTCAGTCAGGGGTTTACTTGGCTGGGAGATAAAGATTCCCCTTCCGAAACCCTAAAGCCTTAACCGTAACCCCTAAACCTTCACCCTTAAATCCTAACCCATATATAAGCCTAAACCAAATTCCTGAACTCCAACCTCGGAAACCGAAGCGCCAGAGCCTCCCAAACACTTAAAACGTTAAACCTAAACCTTCAACCCTAAGGCCTAAACCCAAACCCTAAACCCTTAACCAGAACCCTGAATCTCCTAAACCCTAAACCCCGACCCCCAATCCCCTATAGCTCCTAAACCTGAGACCCCTTAAATACCCTAAACCCTGACCCCTAAACCTTAAGGCCTAGAACTTACCTTTGGTTAGTGGGGAATGGAGGAATGGGGTACAATTATATCTACTATTACTACCACTCTTCCTTTCCCTACTCTAAACCCCTAAAACCTTATAGATCCCTTATAGGTCCTTTAAGGGGACCCTTACAGGACCCCTAAACCTTAAAGCCCCAAATTGGAACCCTAAACCCTAAACCCCTAAACCCTATACACCCCTAAAACCCTAAAACCCTAAAGCCTAAAGTTTGAGCCCATGGAAAGCCCTGAGCCAAGGGCAGACCCTGGGCCTCGCTTCCTTGGAGTTTGGGGCCGGTCGAGGCGCTTTGAATTTACTTATAGCTAGGATGCCCAGTAGTACCCTTATTCCCTTTTTGTAGTCCTAGGTTCCTTATAAAGTTACCCAATACCAAAAAGAGAGGCCTTTTTATTCTTTGGTTACTGGGTATCCTAGATAGTCTCCATTGTAGTTCCTTTTTTTGGTTTAATTAGGATCCTATAAGGTAACCCCCCCAAAGGAACTACAATGGAGACTATAGGCAGGGTTTAGGGGGTTAGGGTTCTATAGGGGTTCCTTTAAGGGATCTCTATAGGGGTTCCGTTAAGGGATCTCTATAGGGTTCCTTAAAGGGATCTCTATGGGGGTTTAGGGTTTATGGGTTTAGGAGTTTAGGGCCTAGGGGTTTGGGTTTAGGGGTTTAGGGGTTTTAGGGTTTAGGGGTTTAGGTGTTTAGGGGTTTAGGTATTAGGAATTTTGGGTTTACGGGTTTAGGGGTTAGGGATTTAGAATTTAGGGTTTAGGGGTTTAGGGTCTAGGGTTTAGGGGTTTAGGGCTTAGGGGTTTAGGGCTTAGGGTTTAGAGTTTCAGGGTTTAGGTTTAGGGCTTGGGGTGTAGAGTTTCAGGGGGTAGGGTGTAGAGTTTCAGGGTTTGGAGTCCGGGGTGTAGAGTTCAGGGAATTTAGGGTGTAGGGCTTTGCATATTTCTAGAACAGGGTTCATTTGAAAGATTTCCTTCAAAAGGGCTTCCTTTGTATGAAAGGGACTACTGTAAAGGGTACTGTACTATCATGGATGTAATTATAGGGGCCTTAATAACCTTAATAATTGGAGTGATTAGGGTTGAGGGTGGGGTTGTGAACAAAACTAGGTCTATTTCGAATCTGCTTTACTGTGTTTCCAATAGGTTTACATGTCTTGAACCGTATTTAAAGTAGAAAAGCGCAGCTTCTAAATAGAACCGTTGCCTGGATCAGAGCATGTTGCCGTTGAAGTTCGAGTAGCCATCAACATCCCGACATTTCGCTCATCCAAATTATTTCAAGTCTCGCAGTACTCGGCCACCTGCTGGCCATCAAGAGGATAATCCAAATAACTGAGCTAATATAAGTCCCCGGCAATTTAGGTTGTTTAGTTTTATTCAAGTATTTGAAATGTCGCGGCACCCGGCCAACCGGCAATTTAAACTATTTGTTAACCATGCCTTTTCAATCCTTGTGAAGCTCTCGTAATTCAGCCCTAAACCCCCTCCTTTCCTTCTCACTAAACCCTTCCTTGAACTACCGAAGCCGACTGTCTGCAGGGTCCCGTTGGACGGCCTATTTGGGTTTAACCATAACAACCGTTATGTAAATCAGCGACAATTAATATAGTTTAAATGATTAAAATGTCCTGTTAGTGGTAGTTGAAGGTAACACCCTGCCTCCAGGAGGCAGTTCCGATGGGCCCAAGTCAGGCGCTTGTTCGCTGCAGTTGCGGCCCAACTGCAGATTTTATGTTTCGTGTTTAGAGTTCGGGGCTTAGGGTTTTCAGTTTGGGGTCTAAGCTTTGGGTATACTCGCCTGTTGGGGAATCCAGCACAGTTTCTTTGTGGAACATCCCTTGTTTAGATTTTGTACATAGCCCCAGCAGTTTTTGAGCCGAGGCAATTGGGCTGTAAAGCTTGGTTCAGTCGAGCAACGCTGGTAATACGGTTCATGTAGCCCCGTGTAGCTGTAGTAAACGTACCCGAAACCGCCGTCTCGTAATCACGGAACTGACCCTGAAACCTTACTCCCAATCAATCCTCCACGCCTTAAACCCCTCAACAAACAATCTCAAAACCTAAACCCGTCAAGCTTCAAGCCTAAATCTTCAATTCTGGACCTTACACCGAGTACCTTCAGCCCGATACCCGAAACCCCAAGCAAGGTTGGAGCTGCTGGGGAATTCAGACTTCGACAACTTCACGGCCACCTGGCAGCAAAGCAAAGATGTTCAGCTTACTTATAGTATCTAGTGTAGTTCCTGTTTCTGGTTAGGATCCTTTACTATAAATTTGGTTAATAAAAAGAAGGAACTACAATGGAAGCCATAGGTAGGGTTCAGGACTTAGGGTCCATGGGGGTTTTCGGGTTTGGGTCTTCATGCTCTACCTCGACCGCCAGAGTCCTCAGCACCCGTGAGAACCCTTCCTTGACTTAAGCAACCTTTGCAGAGCCCGCCTTACCTATAGTCTCCATTGTAGTTCCTTTTTGGGGTTACCTTATAGGATCCTAATTATGTATTTGGTTAAACCACAAAAAGGAACTACAATGGAGACTATAGGTAGAAGCCCTGAGCCCCTGAACCGGTAAATCAATCTCCCCACCTGTAGCCGACTAAGGCAACATACGTGTACCCGTTTGAGGGTGTAAGTAGCTATAGCAACGTACATTGCCCTGAATCCCCTAGCCCTTGAACATATCTCCACCTGGAGAATCAGGACGACATACGTTGTCAGTAAAGACAAACCACTTGGTGACTTGATTAGGAGCCCTGAAGCCCAAAACCCCAACCAGGCATAAATGGATCCCTTGTACACCGTTTTAGAACCCAGTTTATGATAAGCCCTGAGTTCTAAACCCCCATACCCTAAACTCCTAGCCCAATAGACTCCAGACCCTAGAGCCCTGAGTTCTAAACCCCCAAACCCGAAACTCCTAAACCCTAGACTCCAGACCCTGAAGCCCTAAACCCTAAACCCCTAAACCCTAAACCCCTAACCCCTAAACCCTAAACCCTAAACCCCTGAACCCTAAACCGTACCCTAAACCCTAACCAGGCTTGTGTGGAGACGCAACTCAACCAATCGGATCCCTTGCTCGACGGCTCCAGCGCTGCGGCCCTTCGGACCTCACATACACAGCTCTCTCTCTCTCTCTCTCTCTGCGTATGTGTGCTTGTGCGTTTACATATGTATAATATGTATATGTATATGTACATGTATATGTACATGTATATGTATATGTATATGTATATGTACATATATCTATATATGTACCTGATGTACCTGTGTGTGTGTGTGCATGTGTGGTTTTATGCAGGTATGTACATAAGTAAATGGCGCGCTCTCTCTCTCTCTATATATATGTCTTCGTGAGACAGACATTATTGCACTTCAACACTTCGGGCTTGAGGCGTACAGGCTTGTTGTTGTGGGTTTCGATAGGCTTTATAAGGGAGGGTCCTTTACCTTTTGGATTTCAACCTAACAGAAACATGCGGATCTCAGTGTCTGCCGACCTTGGGACGGCGTTGCGTGCTTTAGGGTTCAGGGGTGAGGGTTAGGGTTCAGGGTTTAGGGTTTAGGGTGGTGGTGGTTGAGACACCGCCAGATAGTCTTGATCTGAATCGCAGTAGAGTGTTTTGGTTGCTTTGGTCTATGACCCGACACAAGGATGCTTCTCTCAAGGCGGCCCCAAACCTGTAGCATGCATAGGATCCTACCTGTTAGCCTACAAGGATGTTTCTCTCAAGCGTCCAAAACCCCCCAAACCCTAAACATCTCCAATGTAGAAGCCGAAGTCATTACAAATATTACTCTTTAGGGTTCCTTATCATGATTATAGCATAAATTGGGCCCCGCAACCCTATTCTAATTATTAAGGCCTTTGTATTAAAGGGAACTCCAGAAAGTTGGAATATGGAATAATGGCAGGATCCCCTATATTTTACCTTAAAGGGACTATGATAATGACATTCCAACTTTCTGGCTTCTACTGTACAGGGTCCTACCTCGCACCACCGAGGAATCGGAACTACGCTGAAAGCCCGAGTCGAGCGCGAAACCCAAAGCTTGAAAACACAGGGACTCGAACAGCAGCACATGAGAAACCCAGAGTCCCCAGAGCGTCCATATTATATATACACATATAGTATAAACATACATACATACATACATACATATATATGTATGTATGTATGCATGCATGTATGTATCACGGAGTTAGGCCCTAACAGATGATCCCGATTGTAGTTTTGGGGACTTAGGTCCGTAGTGGTAGTATACACGGACCCTCTTGGACATGAGTTAGATATACACATACATTACTTTGTACGTAGTAACAGCGAAGACGTTTCCTATTCTGCGAATAAGCAGCTAACAGTAGAAACGACTGTAAATAAACAAACATGTGAACCCTCCTGTAAGCCGTGACGCCAGGCCTATGCAGATTGCTGGTGTGCTGGCAATGTGCCCCATGACTGCAAGGAGGTCGCGCAGCCACCGACCGCTTCCATTTTGTTGAAGTCAGCCAGGAGGTCGATTTGCACTTCGGTTCGGTTCAGGATTTTGGAGCTCAGAGTTGAGTAGTTCGGTCCGTGGCATCAGAGCTTACATTCACATACGCCAGAACCCCGAGCTCTAAACCTGATGGCCCATAGCCATAGCCCTAAAATCGCAAAACTCAACGCCTTCAAGCGCTATACCACCGGAACCTTCTAATTGCAATCTCTCGAGCCTGATCCCGGATCCGCAACACTCCGAACTCGGGTGTCGTCTCTAAAGATCCTTAAATTAAAAGGCGATGAGCCACGGTTTAGGGTTTGGGGTTTAGGTGCTGCAACTGTGGTGGATGATAGAATATGTGCTGCTATCTATGTGATTGGAATCCGGAGGAAGGGAACCGAGCTAGCACTTCGCAGTCGTAGCAGAAACCGATGAGGTTGTGTCCAGAAGGCATTGTGCGGCTTATTTCTCCTGAAGTTTGCAAGGGGGACAGGTCGCCTGCAGCAATCCACACCGGGGTCCACAGACTGGTAAACTCTCGAGCTTGGGCTCAGGGCTAGGGGCTTAAAGTGCAGGGATAACATCAAGCTTCAGCTTTGCTGCCGTGCTGGTGCTGAGGAGTTCCTTCATACGCCGCGCACCCAGGGGTACCCTATACCATAAAATCCTGAACCCCAAACGGTGTTGCATGATCTATGTCATGGGGTACGTAACTCTGGGGGCACCACTAAATTGAGCTCTTTCATGTTAAAAGGTGTTTGCAGGGGTTATAAAGGTGATATGGGGGTTAGGAGTTCGGGGCCTGTTGGAATGTCCTGAGCGCTTGTTTTTTGCTTGATTTCTGACGATTCATGGAAATAATCATACTGCACCGTACCCCAAGTCCCTGCTTTAATGATAAGGCTCCTCCAGTACACTATAGCACTCCTGAGGTGCTATCGTGCCCAAGCACAAGGTTGTTTGGCATAAGTCACTCCCTGTACCTGATTACATTTGTCTACGGATACAACAACACGGACCTCCTCTGATTCATGTAGAGCATGTCTAGCAACAGAAACAATGATCAGAGTACTTACAACAACCTTCTGAGCAGCAACAGATGTATGAATGATCACAACATCAAAAACTGCAATGGTCATGTGCGTAACAACAGCGGAACTGCTAAAGCCGTGTCGCTTGAGCTTGTTTTGGCTTTCCGCATGATCTCTGGACACTGATTTGCACGTCAGCCTGCCTAAACACCAAAGGTTGTATGGCTTGGGACACTTTCGGCAGTAGGTTCAGTGACGCTGCAGGCGCACAGGACTGCCAGAATCAACGTACCTGGAAGTGGCTGGCCAAGGTGAGCTGTGACGACGCCCCTCGGTTGAGGGGATCCGGATCCCAACAATTGTAATGGCACTCCTTATGGTCCCGAATGCGAAATTGCCATCATACACCCCAACACCCTGTTCTGTTCATAAATCTCATGCATTAAACTAAAAGCCTTGAAAAGGTCAAAAGCCATCGCAGGATATGAGCATGCTAGACGCCCCTCAAGAATGCTCGCCTATATGTGTGTAACTGTATGTATTTGTTCAGGTTATTATGTGTATATATATATACACACATGTATACACACATACACAGCTCTAGCGAACTAAATTATAAGTATGATCACGTATATCACCAACCTACATGTGTATGTGTTATATATATATATATATATATGTATATATATCTATACATAAGAGAATCGTGCATGCAGGCTTTCAACGCTCAGGACTTACGCAGCTCCTGCTATGACAAACAGCAGGTCATTTCAGGAGTTAGTGCAGGGTTTGGGGCAAATGTAGCTGCAGATTTAGGTTCATTAATGATCCTATCGCTAAATATAGGTAATTATAGATATCACACAATCGGAAGCCCTTTTCCATTAGAAGCGGCCCCAGCACTGCTCTCGAAAATTGAACCGTAGCCTCAACCGGATCGTGAAAGCCGCAGGACCTTAAGTTTTTTGCAAGTAAACCGCTGAACCCTACCCAAAGGCCCCAAAGTAGTTCCTTTTCGGGGTTCATATTTAGAACTCTATAAGGTAATCCCAAACAGGCAATATTATGGGGCCTATGGGTAAGCGATAAACCGTTCAACCCGAAGCCCCAACTGCAGAGGCCCAAAGGTCCTGAACCCTAAGCCCCAAGACCTCGAAATCCCTAAACCGCAGAGAAACGTCAGAAACCGGTCTCCCTGCTATAGAGGCCTAAATAATTACCAGGACAGTACTGTTGCGGGAGGTTTCTTGTTTTAATTATAGTATATTGGGCCCCCAAACTCTATTCTAATTATTAGGGCCTGTTTTTGGACGCCTGGAGCCCAGAAGCTCTTGTCAAACACCGCAACGTCAAGCTACAAACCTCTTAAGCAACAACAAACCCAAAGGCCCTACAGACATACCTCAAGGAAGCCCCAACCCTTGAATGGTGAACCCTCAAAGGACGCTAAACCTTAACATGCGAAGCTGCTTGAGATGATCTCAGGACTGCTCAAGCACAGAAGCACAGCACTGTGCGGCGACGTGCCCCAAGAAGTGCTTCGACATGCCGCCTGCCTCAGCTGTTTAGGAATTGATAGGGTTTCGGTTTAGAGTTTAGGTGGGGGACCGCCAACTTCAAATCCAGCCCAATGCCAAGCCATCTGAGGTTTTGTGCAGGGCTTTCTGTGCTTGAGGTCAGGTTTGGTAGATTGTGGATACTGGGGCTGCAATGTGCTGGATGTGGAGGGTGTTGGAGTGATATGGTAAAGAATCTCGGGTTCACAGCTTGGGATGTTTCTGATGTGCGTAGTCACCGCGAGTCTCTTCATAGTTGGACAACTGCAGAGGCCCGCCGCCTTCCACCCATTACACACTCGGAGAGGTGAGCCGCTTCTATTTTGGACCAATAGACAACACGGGTTTAGGGGTTTAGGGTTTAGTGTTTATGGCTCACCCCCCACAAAGCCCTATACCCTAATTTGAGTTGGTTCGGGTCGCAGCGATGTCTAGATTGCAGCCGGATCGGCCGGTTGGAGCCCGATGTTCTGTTGCTTCATGGATAGCGAGCCCTGCTTTAGGGACCCCAAAAGGACAGAAGCATAAGATATCACTGTCTTTCTCGTTGCTTGTTGGGTACGGTCCCCACTCAGTAATATAGTTGAATAATAGTCATAACACAGATATATTAGGACCTTCATAGTAGCCCTGTTATAGACTCTTACTCAATGGGGGCAGTACCTAATCCATACTATAAGAATGCCACGCCCCAAGCCTGCACCGTAAACAAGTCTCTCCCAGGGACAGCAGCAAGCTTCCAGAGTGCCAGTGCGTTTCGGGCTGCATGCAGCACCTGCGCTGCTTGGTTCAGGACGGATATGCTATTCCATAGCATGTTGCATTTAGGGCTTGATGCAGGGTTTGCAGAGACTCAGTATTCAGATACTACGGCACTTGCATCTAGGATATAGTAAAGGCCAGAAAGTTACAACATGTTTATCCTCATGCCCTTAACCCATGCTCCAACCTTCCGGGTTCGCTGTAGCAGTCATGTGGGATCGCATTTGGCGGGGAGTGTGATTTCTGTGCAATCTAAGAAGCCTCAGCCCTCACCCCTAAACCCTTATCTAGAAGCTTCATGACTGCATGCAGCTCCTGCATGACCATTGTGCGGCCATGCTACAGCCGTCGTCCCGAAAGCTTGCTGCGATGAGTTTGGGTTTGTGTCTTAGGGTTTAGGGTTCAGTGTTAGTCTTTCATTTTTCTTGAATTGACACAGTATGTCCCAACATCAAGCCCCGCAGTCTTCGGCTGTAACTGCCGGGAAATGTGGGAGTGCTCCCATCCTGTGCCTTCAACCTGGTACCTTTCGTAGCTAAGATGGATGATGGCTAGAATCACCGGAGAACCCTGCACGCATCCCGCGCAACCCAAGTGACCATGAAGCAGAGCCTCTAAGAACCCTTACCCTAAGGCTCTAAGGACTCATAGGGTAAAGCTTTTGGCTATTTTGAACCTTAGGGTTATACAGCTTCTACAGAAACCTTGTGACTCTCCCACAAAGACCCTTCGGTACGTCTATCGGGGTAAACGCCAAGCCCTAACCTTTCAAGGCCCTAAACCCCAAACCTATAAATTATAGGCAAGGACAAGCATAGCACGAACCTCCAGTATAAGAGACAGGAACTGGGGAACTCGACATCGCAGGCCCGCTTCCACCTACATGGCTTGGGTTTGGGGTGTCTAGGTTTTGAGTTTCCGGGGGTGTGTATATATGGCTATGTAGGGCTTATAGGGTCACGGTTTAGGGTCGATTTTAGGGTTTTGGGGGCTGTGGGCTGCTTCTTCTTCCTGGGACGTTTGTTCGCGTTGTCGATAATTGATGTTCGCTTCTTCGTCGACATTTCAGTTGCGGCTTTCCTTGAGTCTTCTGATTCGCTTGCAAGTATACTGTAAGCTAAGTATAAGAGTGCTTGTAGACTACTAACATTCGTCTTGCCGTTAGTGCTACTTTCAGCGCGGCTGTTATCGGCGACTACGGTCTTTTAGCTCCAAAGATTTTCACAGTAGGCGATGGCTAAAATCTATGCCATCGCGTGGGTTTAGCCTCGTGGGTCTTGTCTAGGGCTTTGAGGAGTGTCCTCATATTCAGTATTATTGATTGTTAAGGGGTTTTGTGGTAGTTCCTTCAGATCAGTGTTTCTGGACCAGTGATCACGAGAATCATCCGAAGTACACATGTCCCCGCGCACTGCAGCCAGGGTCGAAAGCCAAAGAGCCCAAACTACGGGAAACCCAAAGGGGCCACAGAGCCCGGCCACCGCATCGCCAACAACAAAAACGACAATGCAAACACTTACTTGTAGTGTCGTAAAAACAACAAACACAACATAGCAAGCCAATAAGCCTTAAGCCTTAAGCCCTGATTACAGGAGTCCGGCCAAGAGTGCTCTGAGCTTGCACTGGCTTCCTCCTCGGCGTCGCCAGCCTTCACCTTGAGTCTGCTCCACGTTGGTGCAGGGTCTACGTATAGGGCTTAGGGTCTTCGACGCTGGAGACTTGATTTAAGAAAGTACCCCATCACCCGTGGAGAGGCTGAAGCAGAAATCCTTCTTTCTTGAAAGACAGGAGCGGGCTACATCACTGTTTTTTGACAAGAGCTTCCGGGACTTCTTGTAAATTAGCTTCGCTCGATTAACAAGATACCATCTGGAGTCTGTTTGTTCCAAAACCGTTCCAGTAAAGATGCGGTAGCGGCAACAGATCCCGAGCGGACATTGGCATACATGTATCGATGTTCATTGTGTGTGATATATGTACATACATGTCTTCATACATATATATATATATATGTATATGTATATATATATGCATATATGTATATATGTATATATGTATATATTATGTATATTCACGCATCACAGGAACCTTTGCATGGACTCTCGATCAGGGATAGGAGAACAGTCCAAAGTAGGAATCACCAAGCATAAGTTCTAGCAACTTGTTAACTGAGTTAACGGCTGTGGGTTGGGAGTTGCCGTTGCGAAGTAGTTTGGAATAACCCGAGTATTTTTGGAGGCAAGCGGGGTCGTCAGCGCCCAGGTTGCAGACGTTTCAGCAGTGTGTTCGCCCAGCCGGGCCATTCTGCTGCATCCAGGAAGTCAGGTCGGATTCATGGCAGTGGGTGTCGGAGAGCCTTCGACCTCTAAAGATTTTTTCGGCAGAGCTCCTTCCGATAGTTGCGATAGACTGGGTTTCCCAGCAGTACTTGGAGGATCATGGGACTTAGTAAGTAGGGTTATCAGTCCCTTATTTTGGCTTATAAGTAATTATAAGTACAGTTACCTTAATTAAGTATTTTAACCTCTTAGTTACTAAGTCCCATGATCCTTCAAGTACCCTGTGGCCCTTCTATTTGAGGGCTCCTGACTCGGGAGGGCGCATGGGGCAACGCCAGAAATGCATGATGTAAGGCTGGTCAGGCCTATGTTCAGCTCTAGGTCTCCGAGTTGTTATTATCCCTATAAGGCTTTGGGTCTCAAAGGCAAACCAACATATATATATATACCTATGTATATATATATATATATGCATATGTATATATATATATATGTATATATATATAAATATATATATATATATATATACATATTGCTTATACTAGATATACATATGCGTATAGACACACAGTTTTCGGTGTCGAGGGTTTAAGGTACATGCAAATGCATAAGGTTATGTTCTTGAGGTCCAACTCCACCTGGGACCTGATGACGAAAAAGTTCTCCTGCCTGTGCGCGGGTGACCTGCAGGAGGTAGGGGCCCGAAACATATGTAGGGTTTAGGGTTGAGAGCTTATAGGGTTTAGGATTTTAGAGCTTATAGGGTTTAGGGTTTAGGGTCGCATGCGTGGGAAATTGTTAGTAATAATCTGCCCTTCTAGTCCCGCTACAACCGCTATAATCATTCAAACAAATAACCACATCTTATTCTAGTTATCAAGGTCCCGAGATTTAACCTAAGGATCTTGCGATAAGACAGTTTGCTTAGGGATTCTCTCCTGAAGCACAATTTAGACCCGCAAGATCCATGCCTTCGTGTGATGCCTTCCCAAACCCTGCCTTCGGATCACATATTCTAGTTCAAATCACAATCATTAGCATTACGTTCATGATCACCACTGGTAGTACTGTTGTGCATGATTCCTTTTCTTATTACTTTTATTGGCATAGTCTGAAAGGAGGTGTCGGATGAAGGATGCCAAAAGACCGTAGTCGCCTGGTGTAGGATTTATCTGGGTTTGTGGCCGTTTTCGCAACAGTCGTTGTTGTCTTACTGGTGGTGCTGGCGGTGGTGGAGGCGGCAACGATTTGCACTCATTATCGTGCTGTACGTTGGCAAGCCCTAAACCACAGACTAGCTCTAAACTCCTGAGCTTTCTCCCTAGTCCTTTCACGTTTCCTTGCCGCGGCTACTTCATCCATGAACGAATGAATCGCCTGCGTCGATTGTTGACACCTTCTCTGTTCCCGCTTATGCAGTGTTTGCGTCATTTTTGCTGAGACATCGGGGTCTCAACATGGCACTCACTCTTTGTGACTGCACGAGTTTTGTTGGTCCGAAGCGACACCGACGGGACCACACCAGGACCAGGACCAGACCAGTGACCACCAGTTGGGCACCACCGACCAGACCGCGACACTGACCACCGAAGCAGCTGCCGACCTCACCACGGATCTTTCACCAGACTTCCCACCGAACCACCATCGACCACCCGACCAACGACCGTAACACTTCAACACTGACCGAACCGCCGACCGGAGCACGGACCGGACCACACGAACCGGACCATGCAGACCGGACCACACGAACTGGACCGCCTTCAGAAGGAAACACCGATTGGATCAGGTGGAATATTGCACCGTTTGCATTACAGCCCTTCCACTCCAAAGCCAAGACCCTACTATAGGGGCCTTAATAACCAGGGCCTTCTAAGTGATGGGTTTGGGGTCTACATTTTTTACAGTAGCGGAAAGTCCCTTAACTGATGTGTTTTCTGTCCATGGGAATGCTTGCTCGGCAACTGTCATATTGGGCTTCACTAACTGTCATATTCAGGCTCAGCCGGTGCTTGTGCAATAGTTTTGCATTTTTCACCAGGTGTAGGGTGCCATGGAAGATGAGCGAGCGTTGCGGGAGGGTGAAGTCTGTGCTGTGGTGGAAAATCAGTTCATTTAGCATTCCTTCATCCGCGTGCCGCGGCCGCCGGATCCCAGAATGATGCGAGCCAGGCTGGTCGCCTCTTGACTGTAGCCAAAATCAACAAAAACCGCATTTTTAATTGCTCCGTCGAAGACCGGACCGCTAAGATCGAAACCCACCCCCCGCCCGCAGCCCAGGAGCTGAACGCCCGGAACGCTTTGATCCGGGGGCGGCTCATCCGACAGGCCCGTACCGCAAACAAACCACCCTGGCAAAAAACCGGCTGCGTGCAGTAGCCACTGCCGAAACCCAGCCGAGTCCAGGCAGGGCGTGCGAGGTTCATTCGGGATGTTCGATGTCGGTATGTGGATTCTGAGTGAGCCTTATATACGAGCGACCTTTTTAAAAGAACTATTAATGAACCACGCCCGACCGCGTGCAGAATCCAGCTCTTTCTACAAAGCGGCGCCGGGTTGAGGCACGGCTTCGGGCTTCGTTGTATTTTCGTCCTCCAGCCTGTGCGTGCCCATGTTCGCAACTGAGACCTCTATACTGAAACTCCGGCACCGCAGCAAGCATGTTCCACTGGTGATGCAACTGCAACGCCAGCAGGTCGCTTCAAGTTCCGCGTCGGGTTAGGGGTTCAGGGTTAAAGATTTCGTTGTTTTGTTGTTTGTTTTTGCGGTGGGTTTTCAATTTCAACTTCGGGCTGTTGGGCTTCCGGGCTTCAGGACATATGCCGGGATTTCGGGTGCAAGGTTTACTAGTTGCTTTTTTATGCCAAGCTGACGGTTTTTTGAAATTTGGGTCTGGGTTGCGGGTTTCGGAGCTCAAGTTTAGGATCCCAGTTCGTTTTCATATTTCGGTTCAGGTTTGGAGTGTTTAGGCCTCTGCTTTTGGGATGAAGGGTTTCACATGGTATAGGAGCCTTAGGATTCTGGTTTTGAGGGCCCGGGTAGGTTCAGCTCGTGGGGTTTAATGTTTCAGTGTTTCAAATTTGGGCTTCAAGGACTTGGACTTACGGCGCTTAAACCCCATCAGGCCCAAAACTGAAGCCCTAAACCCTAAACCCGGACACTGCGGATCACCGGTTGAAGTTTTGAGGTTCAGGCATTCAAGGCCTTTGTAGCACTTCAGGTCGGGGCAGGGTTAGGGTTGCAGATTCGGGCTTAAAGGATGGATTCGGACGCAAGGCTTAAGTTTGACGCTATAGAATCAGGAAATAAAGTTATTTTAAGTTTGCAGCTATAGACTCAGGAAATAGAGTTATTCTAAATCCCCATCAGCCCCCAACCCGAGCCTTAAACCTTTGCACGCAGCATATGCCCACTACACTTAACTCGATCTCTTAGGGTTTGGGGTTTGGGGGTTTAGGGTTTTTGTTGTCGTGGTGCTGTCGCCCGCAAACTTTGGTCTGAGTAACCGGCCAAGGATCTGGTCTTCATTACCGAGCATCGAGAAGCTCCGAAAGCCACTAAATCGCAAGACTGCAAAAACCGCCTTTGCTGCAAGGGCCTTGAATCACCAAACCTGCAGCCCAATCCCTGACGCTTGAAACCCTCGAAGCAACAGCCCTACATCCACGCCCCTCTGTGTGGCAGGAGCAAAAGACGTCAGATCGTCACAAGACGTGTCACCTCGCGCGGAAAGAAGACTGCTGTGTCATGGCTGACCCAATCTAAATTTAGAATCTCGAGCTTGAAACCACCCGGAAGCAAGCAAATGCCAGCTCTGCAGACATTTTATAAGCATGCAATTAAGCCCCAATCTCAAACCCCGGAGGCCAAAACCCTAGACCCGAAAGCCTACACCTAAACCCGAACCTCTACACGAAACCGAAACCCCTGCCCCTGAATTTTTTTGTAACACAAGCGCTGGAAGCCTTACATATATAGCGATCAGTATAAGACCGGTGGCGAAGATCTCAAGAGCACGCAAAGCTACACTGTGAATTTCGGTATCGCCGTTGCCGAGATGTGCCCCGGCTTCTTTTGGCCTATGTAAAGCCCCAAGTCTGCTCCTGTATAGTTCTAATATGAACCGACACATTCGTCCCGGAGCCTTCCTATACAGATCTTAAAGCAACTGACAGTTGGCTTTTCTGGGCTTATGGCTACGAAAAACCCCAGGTCTGCTCCTGTATAGTTCTAATATAAACCGACAGATTCGTCCCGGAGCCTTCCTATACAGATCTTATAGCAACTGACAGTTAGATTTTTTGGGGGTATGGCTATGTAAAGCCCCAAGTCTGCTCCTGTATAGTGCCAGTATGGGTCCCATATTAACCGACAAATTAGTCCCGGAGTCCTCTATACACAGATATATAATAAACGACACGTTGGAGCCTTCTTCTATACGGGGCTTAGAGACTAGGTTTGTAGCCAAGGTTTCGTGAAGCCAAGCGAAGTGTGGCGTCGATCCAGACAGCAGCTGTCTCTTGCGGTGATATTGATGCTAGCAGGGCCGAGCCGGAGGATACTTATGTTTGCGAGCTCCACGATTTGCTGGGCAAGGTTGCTTCGTGGAAGTCGGCATGCATAATATTAAGTCTATGTGCTGAAGTCAGCAATAATTAGAGCTGTTAGCTTGCTGGCCTCGCCCAACCGAAAGGCCACTTTGACCATGAGCGGCTTGCTGCACTAGGAAAAGCGAAACGTGCTGATAGCCCCGTGTAGTGTCATGTGCTACAAAGACATTTCGTGTCAATTGGCTCGGTGTCAGACAAACAGGCGCCACCCGGGGCACCTGGGCGGCTCGGGCGGCGCCGCCCGGGCACCTGCGCCTCTGGCGCCTCGGCACCGCCCGGGCACCTGGGCGCCTCGGGCCTGGTGTCAATTGTTTCAGCGGGTTCGGGGCACGGTCTCGGGTTTTGGGGTTGGCACAGGCCCCTTTTCCGTGTCATTTGCGTGTCATTTGCGTGTCATTTGGGGCCCCAAACCATACACTTAGCTTTCTAACTGACATTTTCGGGAGGCCCCATTCCGTGTCATTTGCGTGTCATTTGCGTGTCATTTGGGGCACCTTCGGTCGGGATTTTCTTTCTGTTTCGTGGCACTTGCTTGGAACCCCAGACCCGGGCATTCCTGACAATTCGCGTCACTGGTCGAACGAGCGATAGGATTGTAGCTGGAGTGCTCGAGAGCGGCCTGTCAGAGAAGATGGCACCGGGACCCGAGCGCATGAAGAACTTGCGAAGCATACCTGTGATGCTCGGCTGTGCATAGAGTGCACTGCATGTGTGACCAGGATTGGTGATTATACTGCATTGCTGCGCTTCTGCGACTAGAATCAATATGGGCGACAGCCAAGTCGATCAAGTCACGTTCCAGGAGGCCAGACATTGACACCAAGTGCTTCGATGGATAACCTGGGATACTACTACATAATGTCCGAGGTGCCGGGTTCTGTGTGCCTGAAGTCCTCGGCGGACGCAAGGCGGGTTGTCACTTAAGCTGCTGTGTCTCTGCGAATTTTCAGGCCCAGGAGAAGCTCGGCGGTGCCGTCGTTTCGGTATGGGGCCTTAGGCGTTGTAGGGTTCAGGGTATATTAAACAATAAGGTTCGATGGATCCTATATGCGGGAACAATGAAAAGCCGATGTCTCACCCGAAACCCGAGGATAGCTTTCTTCGCTCCAAACGACAATAATAGCTGAACCCCTCAACCCCTCCATCTGTGCAACCTCGAAGTTAGACCTTGAACCCAATTTGTGTTAAGGTAGAGGGCCCCGGCAATCGGATTGGAAGTCCCCGCAGTCAGACCTAAACCCGGAACCCGCTATGCAAAACCCCACGTTTGCTCCTGTATAGTTCTAATATGAACCGACACATTCGTCCCGGAGCCTTCCTGTACAGATCTTAAAGCAACCGACAGTTGGCTTTTCTGGGCGTATGGCTATGCAAAACCCCAAGTCTGCTCCTGTATAGTTCTAATATAAACCGACAGATTCGTCCCGGAGCCTTCCTATACAGATCTTATAGCAACTGACAGTTAGATTTTTTGGGGGTATGGCTATGTAAAGCCCCAAGTCTGCTCCTGTATAGTTCTAATCTGATGAATGAAAAGGGCTCAAGCCTTAATCGATCCACCACGGCCCTCCAGATCGGTCCCCCTGTCCTGAGGCTCACGACGGACCAAGAATTCTTCGGGAGCATCGCTCGGAGTCCCTGGCTGCTGTGCCGCGGTATCTGCATCTCCTGATTTGGCGTGATTATTTACATATCGTGGATCTGGCCTTGGCGCCGGCGTCCGCCACATGGCTGGTCAGCATCTTTTGTTGGAGATCGTGGTAGTTTGTGTTCCTTGTGTTGGCTATAGGCCTTGCTCGAGCTTACATGTTGTGCTTCACACTGGCCAGGCCTGGAATCCTCGGCGCCGGCAGTTCCAGCTAGGGGTGCTTCGGGTTGATCGAATTAAATGCAATAAATATACCCGCATCACGGATATAGAAAAGATCCGAAAGGTCACGACCAACAGGAAAGGCTTTTCCAACGCCTACAGTGAGTTCGCTGGCGAATGCAAGAAGGAGCGCGTCCGCAACCTGCCGTGGATTATAAGTATACGTCTATAGAAATTTGTCAGGGCTGGTCGCGTGCATGGGCTTATATAGGCCTTTTTTCTTTGTTGCATCGAGATCCGCAGGGCCTTAAGGATGCCTTCAGGGACCTTTATCAGATCCTGAGCTAGACTCCATCTAGGGTTGCAGGGCTCCGCCATTCACGCTGGAGTCTATGCAAGCCAACCGGGCTGCTGGAGAATTCCCGACACTGGCACAGAAGTATTTGAATGGAGCCGTGCCTCGGTTTGGACAAGCTTTTTCTATCGCGAATCTTGGTTGGCTGGTTTGCTGGGAAATGTTGGGATATGGCTTCTGTCACCAACACACAGCATTTCGTCGGGCTGGACCGACTTCGATGCACTTTCACCGATGCCGGGCCCTTGCTGAGTGATGAGCAACGAGAACAAGCTGAGTTTGTCAATGACTTACACCGCTGCCTTCTCTTGGATCCCTGGCATATATTCCCGGCTGTAGTTCCGAGAAGCATTCACCGGCCAGGGCTGTAGCTCGATCGATTGGTTTGCTTCGCAGACCTCGAGCCGCAATTCTGAAGCAATCATGTCAGCCTGTGAAGCTGTCGCATCTGACGAATCTCTGTACGAAACTCTTCCGAAATTTCACGAAGCTTGGCTGCGCCTCTTTGCCTCTCCCTTTCCCTGCCAAGCCGCTTACGCACCCTTGGTCGCAATGAATTTCAAGTGAGCTGCAACTGATGCCGAGAGCTCTTTGGCTGCCAGCACGTCGGCAAGATTCATTCCTACGAGACCCTAAACGCTAAACTCTTAAACCCTTAATCGTATCGACATACCTCGTTTGGCTTGTCCTAGAGTGAGAGCATAAATCCTTAAACCTTAAGTTCTCTACACCCTAGATGAGTCTGGCCAGCAAAAGGCTCGAACACCTCGTCCTTGATATGACTTTGCTGCCAAATCCTCTCCGAGTCTCCAATTATCAAGAAGGAGATCTGGTGGGGAGGGTCAAAAGCTGGCTGGCTGTGATCGAGAAACCCAAGCAGCTCTGCAAAACTGTTCTGGAACGCTGGGCCTGGTTCGCCTCTGTTACTTGGGAGAACAAAAGACTGGCCGCCATGGAACCTTCATCTTCAGATTCCGAATGAGGACAGCGGCATGGAGCTGCAAAAGGAGAGGTGTCCGACCCTGAACAACAAATCCTTAAAGCGCCGGGAGCCCCAAGCCCTGAAACCCCTACAAACCCTGACGCCACGAACCCCAACTCCCGAAACCTCTTCTTCACCCTGAAAACAAAACCCCGTAAAGCCGAGCGCCCCAAGCCTTGAAACCCTTAAAAAACCCTGAAACCTCCTCACCCTGAACACAGCACCCCTACAAGCCGAGAGCCCCAAGCCCTTCCCAAAACCGAATAACAGACCAGAGCCGGTTTAGGGTTAGGGCTTAAGATTGTTTGCTGGCTTTTGGGTTCGCCGAAGGTCGAAGGGTTGGTAGATTAGGATTGAGAGCTTTGAGTCTCAGCTTCCGGGCTTAAACGTTAGTGCATATAGGGTTGAAGGCGTCTTATGTGTAGCCCACAGGGCACGCGAGCCCCCATAACGTTTGTAAGTATGTGTGACATATATGTCAGCGTAAATGACATGTTTTGTTCTGTCTATGTTAACTGACATGTTTTTGGGCCTGGAACGCAAAACACGTCGAACAGAGGGTCCTGGAATGACCTATACGTACTATTTTGGGGGTTCCTTATCGTAATTATAGTATAGCGGGCCTCAAAACCCTATTCTAATTATTAAGGTCGCTACCCTAAGCCCCAAACCCTAAACCCCCTACCACCCGGGCGTGAGGAGATCTACCGCCACCACTGCTGCGACAACAGCAACAAATCCGTGGAATTCATGTCGACCGGGCTTTGTACAGTCCGGTACCCAGAAGGTTTCAGGTTTCACGCATTGTGAGTTTTTGGGTATAGCACAATATGTTCCAGAACCCTCTTCTAGCTCCTAACGCCCCTATTCTATAGAACCCCATTATAGATCCCTGATCGTAGCCCTTATAGACTCCCTTTAAAGGGACCCTTCAGACCTTTGGGTGGGGGTCGGGGGTGAGATGTTTGAATGTTCGGCTTCGGTCCCTGGGTTCAGGGGTGCAGGGTTTACGTGAGGTCCTGTCCCCCTCAAGGTCCCTATGACTCTCAGCAACGCATTCCCGCCGTTCTTTTCCTTTCTCAGGGTTTAGGGTTTGGGGATTCCTCCTGGACCTCAAATATCCTACCTTCTTAGGGTTCCCTCATATAAATTGCTAGGTTATGTGTGATTAAGGTAGGGTCTACTTATAATTACAGCTTCGAGGCGACAGGATGGCGTGACTTGCGACCCATTTCCGTCCAGGGCTATAACCCTGAACCTTTAGGGGGGTTTTCAGGGCTCCTTAAAAGAATTTGCTTATTTGAGTCCTGAAATGGGTGGGTTATTGGGGTTACGATACCAAATCCATGCCGTGAAGCTGGCTCAGCTTGGGCGGAGATCTGTTTGGTGCCCAAGAAAATTGGGCTCCTCATTATACTCACCCTAAGGCCCCGTCGTAGTTCCTTTTGGGGCTTACCTTATAGGATTCGAAAATATTACCCACAAAAAAAGGACTTCTAGACAACACGACCCCTATTTTATAGAACCCCATTATAGATCCCTTATAGTAACCCTTATTATAGACCCTATTCTAAGTATTTAGACTTTATTCTACATCTAAGGCACATTAGCCAAGGTGGAGGCCTTGCAGCCCGTAACGAGACTACGGGGCTTCATAGAGAACAGCTTGGATACCCTGAACCCCTAAATTGCCCCAAACCCCAAAATGGCAGTTTCCGAAAGTAGGGGACCCTAATATAGTACCCTAAATAGAAGCACCCATATGATAAGGAAATTCCCAAATACATTGCTAAATCCTAAACCCCTACAAAGCCCCAAAGGGTACAAGGAATAGTAGAGTCTATACTTTGGTGGCCCAAATACCGATGAAGTAGCTACTGTATTGGTACTTCGAACACACCCTCCCGCCTAATTGTGTGTCCTTTGTTCGCTTATTTCACTTGGACCCTGTGGGAACCCTACAGTAGAAGCCCAGATGTTCGAAACCCCATAGCCTCAACCCTTAGGAGTAATGTATACGGAATCCCAGCACTCGTTGGCCTTAATCCGGTTTCCAACTTTATGGGGTTTACTGTAAACGCTGCAACCCTAAACCCCTAAACCCCCAAACCCCTAAACCCTAAACCCCTACCCCCTAAACCCCTGACCCCTAAACCCCTAAACCCTAAACCCCCAAACCCCTAAACCCCTAAACCCCTAAACCCTTTGGGAACCCTAAACCCGGTGAGTTGACTTTTGCAACATGAGGCAAACTGCTCCGTGGACTGCACCGGGGAGGAGGCGCAGGAGAGACCCGGTGGCAAGACAGGGGCGGGGCTTTGGGGTTAAGGGGTTTAGGGTTCGGGCTTCAGGGTATTGGGGTTTAGGGGCTTAGGTTTTGGGGCTTCAGGGCTTTAGGGCTTTGGGGCTTAGGGTTTTAGCTTTTAGGGATGTTGAGGGTTTGGGGATGTTTAATTAGTGGTTCAGAGTTCAGGGATGTCTGGGGTCTCAGCTTTAGGGCCGATGGCTGAGGGATGGTTCAGGGGTTTTTGGTTGAGGGGTTTAGGGGTTTAGGGATTTAGGGGTTTAGGGTTTAGGGGTTTAGAGTTTAGGGGTTTAGTGCTGTTTAGGGTTTAGGGTTTGTGCTTTAGGGTTCAGGCTTTGGACGTTCAGGCCTTTTGGGTTTAGGGATGTTTTCGGCTAGGCTTTGAGGGTTAGGGTTTTTGGTTTGGGGATGTTCCGGATTGAGAAACTAGACCGATGTTTAAGTGCGCAAAGATAGAGCGGATGTATCTCTACTGCCATGATGCCGTTTATGGCAATCGGAATCTGCCCTTCTCCCAAAAAAAACAGGGTTTGCTGTCGGAAAGGGCGTGCCGGGAAAATCATGCGCTTACATGCAAGATCTGCATCGAGAGTTTCAGTTGGGGATTATTCGAGATCCGTAGGGTTTCATGGTACCAGGGTTTATACGGTTGAGGGTCAACGGTGCGTTTAGTGTTTGGGGTGGGTCCTCATGTCCCCTTTGGAGCATCTGGACTTGACGTCAACGGTCTGTAAACTGTCACAGTTTTAGTGACATATCCCAACGGCGCATCTGAACCCTTTCGGGTCCTAACATAACTGCATAAACCGAACCGGCCCTAACCCTTTAAGTTCTTCCGAAGGCCCCGTGACACTTTGAGTAGTCCGGCGGACTACGATGATTCACAGGGCTAGATGGCCTATCTGGATCCAAGAAATCCGAAAAAGCTTGTTTGGTATGAGTTCCTCATATATCTCTGTGACAGCAGGGAAAATTTTCGTGGCTCAGGTATAGGCCTAGGATTTCAGGTTTTTCGGGATTGGAGGGTGGGATTTGGCGGTTGTAAAAACGATGAGTGGACCATGCCAAACGACGAGCAGCGTTGAAGAAGCTACAGCAACATCTGCACGAAGGAGCACACTGACGTCAGGGGAAGGCGCGCGGTGTTCGTTGCCGTCATTGCCGCTTCCGCTGTTGCTGGTGCTGTTGCTGGTGGTGCTGCTGGTGCCTGTGGTGCTGCTGGTGCTGGTTGTGCTCCTGCTGTTGCTGCCTGTGGTGCTGATGGCTTTGGTGGTTTGTTGCTGGTGGTGCCGGTAGTCAGCACGGGGTTGGTTTGGTTGTTGCTGGTGGTGCCACGGTATTTGGACTTTCACGCTTCGCTGGCAGGACGTACCCGGCGGCAAAGTTCCGCAAGCCAACAACAAACATCACTTGCGATAGTGCGGCTGCCAGACCTGCAAGCTTTCAACGAAGCAATGGACGTGTGCAGCCGTCGAAGCTTCCGGGTAATTTTTAGTTGCAACCTTTTTTCCCACACGGTTTGTAGGTAGTATCAGTTGCTGGTCGATAACTTACTTCACCAATCCGGATCGGGCCTTCTTCCCGGTCATAGGTCATGGCAGTTGGGTCTTGTCGAAGTGCAACTGGCCATGCGCATGGACTGGATGTGTGTTTGCATGCGCTTTGCAAGTGAAGTCTGCGATGAAGAAGTGCTCTTTGTTGGGAGTTGGCGCGCGCGCGTGCGCGGGTGTGTGTGTGTGTGCTTGGTTCCGGCGTCTCGTTGCAATTCTTACAAAAGAGTGTGAAATGTCTTGCGGTTTGACGATTTTGTCGGTGTGCGGTTGGGGGTTCTGTTTAGGGTTGGCCTGTTCTCCACTCCACGAGATCTGAATTGCTCTTCATGCAGAGGTGCCAGGCCACGTGCACTCGCGAGTGTGCCGGAAGCCATGCGCAAAAACCCTCCGAGGACAACGTGGTTTTAGCAAGTTTCAGGATTGAGGATGCTTACGAAGCTGTTGGTTAAGGGTTACCTGGACCCCAAAAGTATGTAGAATAATTGCCTTTTGTGGGTTTTGGGCCATTATTTTACCTACTTTTGGGGTCTAGGTAAGGTTTTATGGACTGAATTTGCATATTTGTCTGGTACGTCTGGACCAGGCTATCCGGTAGACGAGGGTTGAGGCTCAGTGTGACGTTTATGCGTTCTTGCACCTTGATGTTGGGCTCCGTGTAAGTGTATCATTGCATGTATGTATGGAGATCCACGGAGGGATAGCAAGGTCTGCAGGGTTCATGGTTGCTCCGAGGGTCGAAGTTGTATCGGCCCCCGACGAAGTTCGACATGGGGTTTGTGCTCACTTTCGGTGCCAAATGTTGCTGTAAGTTTATTTCCAATAGTTGCTCAATGTTTCGCTCGATAAGGAGCCTTACGAACAAGGCCATGTTGAACAGCCCCCGCCTCCCTTTCATCTGCAGGGCATATGGGGGACTGTCGTTGGTTAGAGCCGCGAGCTCTCAATCCGTGAAGCCAAAATGCCAAATGCCCCAAGCAAGCACGAACCCCAAACGCCTAAACCCCGAACCCTGCAAACTCTACTCCATTTCCGAAAGCCCCTCCCCTCCCCATACACAAACGTTTCATGATCCCCTTTCAGTCTTAATGTAGGGGCCTAAATAATTACTAATGCTATTGTGATGGTTCTTTACAACTTATAGTGTTTCTAGTCGGTTATGCACCGAAACCCTTTTCTAATTATTAAACCCCCCTATAGTACAGCAAGCTTTCCGGCTGCCTCGAGGAGTGCGAGTCCAATTGTCTGAAGGAGAGTGGGCGCTGCAACCGGTACAAAGTCTGTGGCTGTGATGCAGGGATTAGGGGTTTTTCAGGTTTAGGGTTTACCTGTAGTCTCCATTGCAGTTCCTTTTTTAATGGTTCAACCAATTTTATATAAAGGATCCTCAAAGGTAACCCCCCCAACAAAAAATAGAATGGAGAATATAGGTAGGGGTTCAGGGCTTGGGGTTTGCTCTTAGGTTTCAGGGTTTGGGAGTGAAGGCTTGACATTTTGTGCTTCGGGCTAGGGTTGACAGGGTTTCACGATTAGGTTTGTCAATGTTCGTTTACATTTGAGTGCCTGTCCTCGCTTTTGATATGTCCCTCACTGCTGCTCATCCAGCTCAGCCAATCCCGAGCAACTTCGCAGTAAAGAGCTCGGTTTTGTTCGTTCGCACCCTAAACCCTAAACCTAAAGCCCTAAACCCTAAACCCCTGAACCCTAAACCCCTAAACCCCTAGACCCTAAACCCCTGACCCCCTAAACCCTAAACCATCTGGCTCTGATTGCCGGCAGCACACATCCGGGATGTAGTCTGAAGCAGACAGCTGTTCATTTTTTGGAGGTTCAGACTCTAAAGCAGACAGAATGAGTTTGAGACTTTGTGCTGAGGTGCGGCAAGAGCTGAAATCGCACCTGCTGCTGCTTTTCCCTATGTTTGCGATGATGGGCAGGCAGAAGCGGATGATGTGGTGGGGGTCAGGGCACCAGGGGCAGCAAGCAGCGTTCAACCCGGTCATACCGCAGCAGGCAGTAGTCCTTTTTTGAGTAGTACAGCGAGTTGGCTGCAGACTTGATTGTGGGGTTAAGGGTCAGCGTCAGGGTAGCCAGATCCCCCTCAACCCTGTACCCTGATACCCTTTGGTGGTCCAGCGTCCAGTTTTTCACGGGCGCTGAAGTGCCAAACCTGAGTTCAGCTTCGATTTATTCTCGTCAATGTGTAGTAATTAAGCCCAATAAAACCCTCGAGCCACTACGGACCACAAGCCCGTGCGAAAGCCCAGAAGTCTGAAACAAGCCGCACGAAACCCAACTAGAGATCTCAATCCAACAAATCCTGAAATCCTGAAACCAGACCGAAGCTACAGGTTCAAATGGGTTGTCAAAATTCGGGTCCCTTTTCGGGTACCGTAAGTAACAGCTGCCGTATCATAATAGGGACCCAAAAAGGGACCATAATTTTGACAACCACCCAAATATCAGGCTGAGGATTTAGGGTATGATTAGGGTCTTCTAGGACGGTTACAGACGACAGGAGCCGGAAATCGTAAATCGGTGCCTCGCCAGCTCTCTTCCTTCCCAAAACGACCCCGGCGTTCTAAGCCCTACCGTAGCCCCTGAACGGCATACCTATCTTTGTCGTAGTTGGATAACAATTTCCATGTTTATGAGTACTCAAACGCAATATAAGGAATAGACATATGTAAACTGTTAATACCATCCCGACCATGAACTAGATATCAGGAAGAACCCTGCTTGGGTTTGCTGGGGCCCAGGAAAGTAATAGCTCCCAAACCCAAAGCTTCCACAGTCAACACCTCGCTGCCGCTCGGCCCTAAATGAACCTCACCCCCAAACCCAGCAGTAAGCAAAAGTCCGACACAGACACACACTTGACACATCGTGTCGCAGGTCTCGAATCACACTCTCAAAGTCAGAAGAGTCAGCTGCTGACAAGATGCAGTACACTTGCACGTCCCTTGCAACACACTTGCACGTCCCTTGCTGGCAGGTACGTTTGCACCCCTCCCTGGGGGTGTCTTCGTTGGCCGGTGACCCCCACGGAGAGCACCGGCCCCCTGCTCGTCACTGCAATCTCTCACTTTCGGTCGACCCAATTGAAGCTAGCTGAGTACGCACGTATCAGCTTCGTACCTACCCTTCGAAACAGGGATGGACACACACACAAGCCCGACCGGGCTCATTGCATCTGTTTAGTCGCTTGCACGTCTTTGACATGTAACTCTGTACATTTCTTGCACTGCACTTGCACAAACCTCGCACACCCTTGCATATCACTTGCAATCCGCTTGCTCAAGTTGTTCCCAAACTGCAGCACTTGCACATCGCTTGCACAACTCTTGCATCACACTTGCTCTTCGAATCAAAAGGCTCCGTAGTTAAACAAACAGAAAGGGAAACCAGGTAGGCCCCCGCATTCGTGTTTCAAGTGTCATAAAGCCTGTCTTGTCTACTCTCATCCTTGCATACCTGCCGGTATGATTACAGAAACACTGTTTTAAAACATCCGCTTTGTTTTAAAGCAGTCCTGTCTTCCTGCCGGACATACGACCATCGAGGCACAATAGTAATCTCCACAAACCAAAAGAACCAAAAGAACTAAAAAAACTAAAAAAACCAAAAAAACCAAAAAAACCAAACAAACCAAAAAAACCAAAAACCAAAAAAAACAAAAATCTGGGGGACTAGTCTCCTGGAGAATTGGTTGTTTTGGTTTTTGGTTTTTTTGATTTTTTTGTTTTTTTTGGTTTTTTTGGTTTCTGCTGCAGGTACCGCGCTCAGTGTTGCCAGTGCCGCCTTACTCCTTGGCCGCACATATTCCGGGTTACTTTTCTTTGTCTGTGCGTGTGAAAGCCAACACATGCAGCGTGAAACACACTGTATCGTACTCTATGTGTGTATGCGTGCCTGGTACACTCCCAGAAATCGGTTGGACACCACGCCGTGCTGTCGAGTAAGCTCGCACTGGTACACGGCTGTACAAATGTATTCCTGCATAACGCTGGAACGTTGGAAAGAGAAAAAAGGCTTCTGGTGCCGATGATGCCTGCCTGCAGCCTGCGACCCTGGTGCTCATGATGTTTGACTGTGATCCGTCATTTCCATGTCAAACTCGCCGTATTGAATTGCTCGCAAAGTTGCTTTCTCGAAGTCTGCAGTTCTCGTGTAGTTAGCTTTCCCTCTAGTCCTCGCCATGGCCGGTGAAGATCTTTCTTTCGACGATCTCCAGAAGACCGTTGAACCATTGGTGTGTAAGAATCTGACTACACCTGCCATCCTGAAGTTGCCCCTCGGCTTGTTCACCCCGGCTGCACTACCGTTGCAGGAAATGTCGTCCACGGACAACCCTAGCGTCAACCTCTTTGACATCATCACAGACTACCGGGGGACTATTGATGTCAACGATCTGACGAAGGCATACAAAACCGCTGTCTTGAACTCCGATTTGTCTTCGCTACCGGAGCCCTTTGGGTTTCGCGGTATTCTTGCTCGCAACACCAAGCTTCAGTTGTTCGTGTGCGAGTGTCCAGATGGCTCCAACATTATCGTCAAGCATTTCACGTGTCCGGACAAGTGCAAGCCCTCTGTCTTCTTGGCAGGAGCAAGTGGCAAGGCTTACATCTACCGTTGGCGAGCCACCCATGCCAAGGTCGGAAAGAAAATCCTTCAGTATACTTTGGAAAGCCTTGGCGGTCAGCAGTTCAAAATGTTCGAGATGCAATCCTTCTGCGCCCCCAAAGCCTCCACCAACAGATTCGAGGATAAGACGGATGAAGAAATCGATGCCGGTTTCGACTTCATTGTCCATGATGCACCGCGCTCCTCTTCAGAAATGCAGCAGCTTCGGTGGATGACAAAAACCCTCAAAATCCACAATCGCCTATCTTCAACTGGCCCGGTGCACTTGTTGAGAAGGCGCTCCGGAACCTGAGCCAAGATGGCTCACTCGCCAAGAAGGAGATGGACTGGCCCATCCCCCTTACGTCCACCTATTACCATGGATGGGTCTTGGAGCTTCTGGAGAAGGTGTGGGATTTCGACACGTCCGCCCTCGTGATGTTGGGTGAGGCGGGTGCGGGCAAGTCACCACTGGGTCGCAGCATCTTGATGGCACAGGCCCGGTTTAACAAGGCGCACTTTGGTGCCCGCACCACCGTGTGCATTCGCTGTACGCCTGAAATTGATTTTCTCAGAGGAGAGCAAGGTAATATCACAATGGGTGACTTTCTGGATGACACATGTCTCAGCATCCTCTCTTCCAAAATGCTGAAGTCTCTGTTGGACGTGGGGCTCTACGAGGCCATGGCATGGGCTCGTTGGGGAGCTGTCAAGTGGGTACAGAATCAGCCACGAGCGGTGGCCGACAATACCTACGAGCCCATGGAACTTCCCGACGAATTCGATTTCGTCTCATCCATCTCTTTCGACAAGTTCGCGAAGTGTATCCGTCCAGCCTTCAATTCCGAAGTTTCGAAGGCACATATGGACGCTATCTTCAAGCGCACTGTCTTCCTGGTGAACAGTCCCACACATGTCTACTTCCGCAAGGCCGGCATCAACGAGGATCCTGTCCCCCGTGTAAACATAGAGCGCCCTGAATATCTCACCGAAAAGGGGCGCACCCTCTACGGCACCTTCAAGGACGGCACCCGGGCCTTCCCCCCCCGACCATGCCGCACAGGTTCGTCGTGAACAAGACTGGGTGACCAAGGTTATGGAGAAGCGCTTCGATGAGAGGCGTCCCGACTACAAAGCTCGACAGGCCATCCGTCGTGGTCTCTGGGGTCCGGAACCTGCATCATCCCGCTCCCGGCCCATCTATCGTCAGGTTGATGATCTTCACAAGTCATCTACAAGGGATGCGGTCGCCGCTGCCCCCATCATCAAACGCGAGCGGGTGGAGCAAGAGGAAGCCAGCAAGAAGGCAAAGATTTGGGCCTTGGAGTTGAAAGCTTCCAACAGCGCCATCGATCTCGACTCCCCCGACCGCACGAAGGCAGCTCTCCCGTCTACCGCCGTGCCCAACCCCGAGAACATGATCAGTGACGACATGGATGTTGTCACTGAGGATGAGGCGGATGTCCTGGGCAATGGCTTCGACCTCGGTGAGCACGACAACTGAGCTTTGCTGAGGTATCGCGTAGTTTTGTCACTGCCGTCATGCTATGCCCTGGCCCTCTCTTCAAAAGAAGACCCTCTAGAATAAATCGGTAATGCTCATGATGGCAAAACATTGCTCCGTAGCCGCGTAGTCGCACATGATGGGGGCCCGACAAATTTTGGTAGACCGCATCCTCAGTCAGACCCTGCTTCCTGCGTGCGTGCACATAGGGCAAAAGGACGTCCTTGTCTGCATGTCTGCTGTCTCGCTCGTGCCTGGCCTCATCAAATGTTGCATATACAGCCGTGTCCAAACATCGCGTGTTGTAGTCGAACTAGCCGCCCGCTGTACTTCTTGCTTCAGCCATGGTGAAGGTCGCACGTGCTTTTCCTCGCCGCACGTGTCCTAGTTGCTCTGGGTCACTCGTCAAGACCATCACGGGCCCTCGCGACGTCAGCAAGGGCGTCCTCATCGGGAGTGAATCTTTATCCAAGACGAGCACTCGTGTCAGTCGTTGTGTCCGAAAGGGCTGTCGGGTTTACGTTCGTCACAACTACATGCGGATCGCCGGAGAAAAGATCAACGTTCTCTCCTTCAATCAAATGAAAGCAGCTGGTGTGTATTTCGTGACCACCAAGACAGCATTCACCATGTCCTACCTCGAACTTTGCTATCTTCGTCTTCTTCGCGCGAAAACATCCCCAGGACAGGAGGCTGCGGTCCGAGTTCTTCTTCATCAAGGACATGACGATCTTCCAGATCATCGAACCTTCCGTGATTGCCTTTTGCGTGCTCTCGAGGCTTATGCTGTGGCGAAGCGAACACCTGACC